ATAAATTATAGGCAAAGTTAAAAATAATATTAAGGTAAATGATTTAAATAAAAGGTTCTTAATTTATAAAAAGGATATTTAACTTCTTTGTAAAGATAACTTTTGAAAATACAATTCTTATCTTGATACTTGATTAAATATTAAAAGTAAACGAGTTAAGGGGAGATAACAAATGACTTGACTGTTCATTTATGGCGCGTATATTATTGTCAGGTTTTGTATTATTGTTCAATTTATATCGCGGATTATTTGGTGTAAAACTATGTTAGAAAATATGTAATTTGTATTGTAACTGTTGTAAATAGATTAAGATTAGATTGTGAACCAGAATAAAAATGTAGTTAGCAGACTGGATTGTCTTTTAGGTCCCGTTGTCACGCCGAGTCCAAGCTAGTTCCCAAATAATTTAACATCAATGTGAACAGTTCCCCGCCAAAGAATTGATAACAACATGAAAGAAAGACAACAACACATATTACAAAAACGGGACCAAGTTCCCGCATAATAATACTCTTGCATTAGCAGAAAAATATCCATTTGAGAAGGTTCATTCTAAATTTTGTAAAGCAGTATTAGGACTGAAAAAGACAGCCACTAACATAGGTGCTAGATCAGAATTAGGTAGATTTACTTTGGACTCTTATATAAAAACTCAAACACTCATGTATTTTTATAGAATACACTGTAATGATATTAATCCCCTGGTTAAAGAATCTCTACAAACAAACATAAATTTACATTCTGCAGGAATTTATTCTTGGTACTCATTTGCAGATAAAATTTTTAAAGATATGAAAATAAACCCAGAAAATTACTCTAATATTAATGTACCTTTTAAACAATCAAAAAACGTGTTAAAATGTAATATTAAAAAGTGTGTTTCAGAGGAATATGAAAAAACTACTTTAAATAAACTTTCAAAATTGAATTCCTCATCCAAATTTTGTCTTTATGGGAAATTAAAAACTAATTGTCAGTCTGAGGAATATTTAAATTGCAATAATTTTATACATAGGCAGTTACTCTCAAAATTTAGACTTAGTGATCATTCCCTAGGCATTGAACTGGGAAGGTACAGAAACATTCCAAGAGCACAAAGATTATGTAAAAAATGTGGAGTCCTAGATGACGAATTTCATTTCTTTCTGTAATGTGATCATTGCTTTCTAATTTTTTTGCGCTATCTAAAAGACTATGTACCATTATTTCAACATCTTGATGCATTTAATAAACTAAAACACATTCTAAACCCCATCTCTGAACTTGTTTGTCATATTGGAGTCTTTATTAAGCAGTCTTTAGAACTGAGGGGATCAGACCCATGTCAGACAAGCTTATGATTGTGTTTTTTACATAAATTTACAATTGAACTCTTAAAATATGTTCTATTATATTGTATTGTATTACATTGTATTGCATTGTATTTAAAATGTATAATTGTTTGTTTGTATTGCTTGACCCTAATGGGTGTAATTTTGCAATAAAGATTATAATAAAAATTACTCGAATCCTCCATTCTATTGCTTATGGTAAAATGATCCAGACAAATAATCTACTAAGAACAGTTACTATGAATCGTTAAACTCGTCTACATCCTGCATGCTCTGTTTCATAATTCCAATCTGCAAACAATATTTACAGATATAAAGTCGTTAACAGTTCACATTAAATCAAACAGAATTTGTATATATTACCAGGTTTCTAACTTTATACGACGGAAGAATTTTTTATGCAGAGTGCTTATATATTTCAAAAGATTCATGCTTTAACAAACGTATAAACCTGATTTTTATCTTAAATTTTAAGACATGAAATACAATATAATTTACCTTGTACAACCTAGGGAAGTATACACAAGGAAATCTGAAATTTTTTGACAACACTAAGCTGTGATATTAAAGAAAACACGATAAATATAGAAACTATATAATATTTCTGTGTGATATAAGCTTTCGACTGAACTAGATTTCAGTTTGAAAATTTATAAAGGTAGACGTCAGAACAAGAAGGACCAAGAAGCAGGAGAGACTATATGAACAATACCAAGTTTTGAGACAAACATCAAATGTTTCAAAGATTTTTAAAAAATATTACTGTAATACATGCATAGAAAATGAGCTCCTACATCGTTATGATTATAACGAATTTGTGTGTGTGTGCCTAATAAGTCGAACACGTGCTGTTTGACAAAAATGAAATTAGCATGCAAGTTATGGCGTCACAAGTGACGTATGTAATAAAGATGTTTTACGTGACGTCACTAGCAGCCGTATAGATCCAGTTTACCATGTAATGACATAGGCCCAGGTGAATAATGTAAAAGGTGAAAAGCATGTAAGTTGTCGATCTATCGGGTTTTTATATTTGGATAAATTAGACGAAATATCCAACGAGTACACGGATCCCTCTTTTTTTAGAAGGACATTTGACTTGATACTGTATGAAGATTATTTGTTCCAAATTTTATGAAAAAATCACCGATGATTTTTTTTTAAATTAGATAAATATGCAGCTAAAATGCCTTTTTTTCTTCTTTTTTTTTTACCAAATTCGTGTAATTTTAATAAAAATTAATTATTTTCAAAGAATTGTTACGCAAATGAAGAGCATACTTTTGTAAATAAGATATTCCAAATCTTTTTACAAAAATGTGCATGTGTTAATCTTTTGAAACAAAAAAGTTAAGTATGTCTGTCCAATGGATAGAAATGTACAAGAAACCGACATTTGAAGTAAAAGTCTAAAATTTTGACCCCATTTATCTCTAAATTTAGCACATGAAGGTATATTTGTATTAACTAAGTGAACAATAGCTTGTATTCAAATTTTCGTTAAAAATCACCGTGGGATCAAAGTATCGTATGAGTATGCCCTTAATTTCTAGTTCCTTTGGCTGTCACGCGTTCACATTTCTGTCCAAAAGAAAAAGGAGGAGAAAAAATATGAAGCACATTTTCACAAGCGGACACGTAGTTTTGGAACAACTTTCATCAGGAACACCTACAGTTTATAAAGTTAAAAAATGTAAACTGGTATGAGATCATTAAAAATATTGCTGGTTAAGTGTGTCTTTGGGTTGCTGTCTTATTGACGTAAACCCCATATCTTCCTTTATTCATATTTAACAGAACACTCAAACTGTATGAAGTGGAAATTGAGAGGGAAAAAAATCAGTTCATTCATTTTAGTACCGAATTACTGCGAGCATAGTCAGCGGTTGTCTTCAGTCATTTATTTTTAATGTGTACATTTGTGTGTGTGTGTTGGGGGGGGGGGGGGGGGGGGGGGGGTCCTTTGAGGGATTGATGGTTTTGGCAGATCTTTGATAAAGTCTTTTAGATTAATTAATTTTTCCAGATTCGGGGCAATGAAAAGCTTGACTTATAGTGTTGTCAATTGTCTATTGTTGACGACACTATGTTTGCCTTTACCGTAGATATTTTTTTTATATTTTCGTGTCGATTGGTTGTTGTCTCATTGACGTATACTGCAAAATTATTTGTCGGAGAGAAAAGTTGTCAACTTTTACAGAAACTATCAAAGATCTGACATCAATATCAGATTCCCTCAATGGCAAAACACATTAAGATATCGTATAACAAAACACATTAAGATACCGTATAACAAAACAAATTAAGACACCGTATAACAAAACGATACCGTATAACAAAACACAACTAGTGACGAGGTTCCTTACTTGGGACAGGAATATGGACATGTGACGGGGTTATATAGTAGTGATTGTTTGATATCTCTTTTCCTTTCAATCAAAAGTATATGAAAGAACGTACGATAAAAAATCAGGTAAAAACACTTAACTTTATAATACCGGTATAACAGATAACAACAACAAAATATGTACAGGCAAAACATGCAGTAGATAATACCGAACTCATTTTGTTGTATATCCAAATTTAGTTCTGCTGTGAAAATTTCATAAAAAAAAAATGCAAAATAATTTTCATTTACATACTTCTTATCCTAAGATATTTAAAAAAAAAAGTAACATTGAAGATAATTAATATGTAAGAATGTTATAGCTATAAATGATTATAAATGAGTCATGTGATTAGCTCTTTTGCTGTCTTTTGCATGGTCCTTATACCTCTTTTGACTTTATATCACTGAAAGTATTTCATTTATTAAACTTATGCATGTTATGCTTGTGGTGGTTTGTTTACCAAAACTTAAGTGTGTGTAATAAGTGCGCGTGGTATTTTGTTTATACACGATTAGCGTGTTCGCCGCGAGTGCAGAATTTGTGGGTTCGAACCCCGGTTAGGTCAAAGCAAAGACTAAAATTGGTGTTTGCTGCATCTCAGTACTAAGCACGCGGTATTAAAGAGTAAGACTGGTCTACTCGGAGTCAGAATATTAATGTGTCCGGGTAGGGCGACATGTCTTCCTGTGGACTGTTACTTTGTTATAATACGGCTCAGCATGTCAGTCTAGTACTAAGCAGGGTTTATATCTATATCGCACTAACATTGTTCTCGTCTTTGGACATTCATTTATTATGCCACTGGACGTTTATCTCGGCTGATGTTCCTGGACGATTAGCTGATTTAACCAGGTCCTCGTCAATTCCTCTTAATATGATTATTATCATTGTACTATCTACATGTATAGTTTATGTATTTAGTTTCACCAGGAAACTCTGACATCCGTATTATTTATCTTGGTACATGCACGTCGAGGACATCCGTATATACATGGATTTTCATACACGCAATAAAGTTGTACCTTGAGAAAAAAGGAAAATAAAAATACAAACACTCGATGATTCATTTGTCTATTTTCTAACTTTTTTTTTATCTAACTGGGGAAGGCTAAGAGATTGCAATATTTAATATATTACCTGTATGGTTAAACAATATATAAAAAGAAACGGATGGCGAGGCTACTATACACCTACATGTATATCTAATTTATTTGATCTGTATGTATATAAGGTGTGTAAGTGAACATAAAGATTATTGATTCGTCATCATCATCTGCTTACTTATTGTGTATATTGATAATTTGTAATAAGCTAATATAATGTATACATTGCATGTTACAATGTTGGAGTATACGTAGATTTTGCTATACAGGATTTCTTTTCTACAAGGTATGTTGTGCGTTCTTATAAATATATAAACCCATCCTTAAAGGATATCATAAACTATAATTGCCTCCTATTTATTGTCACCCTAGTCTAGGAGGTCTTTGTTTTATAAGCGAATTTCTAGGGCTGTAAAATAATACACAGTAAGTGTCTATGCTATTTCTCATATATGGTTGAGATCACAGCTAGTATTAGCAGTTCTTGGAAGTTTCTTCCATCAAGTACAGATAGCCGGTGCGTCGTCGGTCAAAAACATAACTCATATAATACATTGTACATTGTGACAGAAATTGACAATGCATTATTCTTTGGTATAATAAATGTTGAATTTTTGCAACTTTTTTTGTTTGTTCGTGTCTTGTGTATTGGTCATTTTGGACTTTATGCTCTTGTAGTAATTCATGACTTCGAATCTTTTAGCCTCTATTGCATAATCTAGAAAAACAAGCATTGTAATGTATTAAAAGAAATATTTCTAACCTTACAAATAACAAAACGAATGACGTATAGCTATCTGCCGGCGTTCAAACTTATAACATGATATCTGATATAGGAATATACACTACACCGCTACACAGAATAATATTATAATGATAGAAATATATGTATTAAAACATAGGACGAACGACTATCAAAACCGTACAAGGCAGAAATGATAAAAATATACTATAATCCTATATACATGTGTATATGAGGAAGATGAGCAAATACGAGAGATAAATTCTTATAGTTTCAGAATATGATATTGTATCAATATGATACTTCCGTGGTTTCATAGGGAAAAAGACAAACATTTCATTCCAAGGACCCGACCTTCCACAATATAAAAGATTAACAAAAACACTAAGAAAAATTCAGCTAACATTTAGGGATTCAGCCCAATAACTAAGTAGCTGGGTCTCTGCTAATCTTTTTCCATGTTTCAGTAAAAAATACAAAATGGAATGAATCATTGGATTGCCGCGAAATGATGTCATTTTATGGATGGAAATGGAACATTTGAAAGTTTTGCAATCTAATTAAAATATAGAACTCGGATTTCGTTATACTACATCCGAGTTCTATATTTTAATTAGATTGAAAGTTTTGTTGCGGTTTAAACTGTAATTCAAAGAAAGTGTACTCAGACTTATTGTGTGTAACTAGCATGCTATTAAAACCATAAAATGACAAAACGCAGTAGTTTTTAATACTTCTTTATTTCATCTTTGCACCATGACTGTTTGAGGAATTTATTTAAGTTTTATAGTATGATACTTTGATTTGTGCAAGTTTTCATTATGTCCAAACCCTAGAAATAAATTTCAATAAAATAAGACTTTCAAAGGTCGAGGGTACATATATGGACCAGCTTGATCGTTAAGAAGGATAAGGAGATAAAATTGAATACATCCTGAATCAAGTCATATATAAAAAAGAAGATGTGGTATGATTGCCAATGAGACAACTCTCCACAAGAGACCAAATGACAAAAAAATTTAAAAACTATAGGTCACCGTTCGGCCTTCAAAAATGAGCAAAGCCCATACCACACGGTCAGCTATAAAAGGCCCCGAAATGACAATGTAAAACAATTCAAACGAGAAAATAATGGCCTAATATGACAATATAATCACGGTATTCCTAAAGTTTTAAAGTTTAGTATATCTATGATCATTTAAACATATGAATTCTTCAAGTCAGACCGAAGTTTTAATTCATGATACTAGTATACTAGTAATAAAGAAACGAACAAGACAATGCATTTTCAATTTAAACTGAAATTGGATACACGGTATCAAGCTTTAACATTGTCCAATCGGTCTAATATTTACAGAGTATTGTTTTCTTATGAAAACCATTGATTTAAAAGAAAATGAAAACATGGAACCCATTGATTTAACGCAAAATGTTTCGATTCGTAATTTTATCGATTTATTTACCCAAAAATAAAAAGAAAACGATTTTTGAAGCATAAGCATGGTCTGATTAAAATTTTGAATGCTTTCCCAGATATTTGAAAACAAATTCTCATCATCGAAATTGCATGAGTGCCGTTTTTTGTCATCATTTTACGAAAATAGATATGCCGCCCCTGTGTTTAAAACATGGTATTTTCTCACTTTCTAACCCGGTAAGATTTTTTTTTATCAAATGTATTTGCTTTGCAGATGAATATTTGTCACTGGATAATTTCACAGTTTATTCTATTTATATTATTTTTTTTTTATGATAAACTGGTGTACAAAAAAGTGTAACGTTATTTTTCTTGACAAGAGAAGTTTTTTGTCATGCATGTCGGGTCCATTTGTATCTAACTATACGGGATGGATTTTGATCACTGTTGAAGGCTGTCATTTGGACTCTGTTGGAAAGTTGTCTCATTGACAATCGTTTCATATCTATATTTATTGTAATCAATGGGTGTTTTCATATTATGCATATATCATTTTTATAAGTAAACTAACTTGTAACAATTCATATAATATACATATTATGCCAGATTGAAAGTTAAATATTTCATAATTTCCATAAAATTAAGAGATCAACATCCTGTGTTTAATTCATATTTTTAAATCATTTGTTTTCGAATTGGAAGGTTAAAAAATCGGACAAACAACTATCTACATTTTTAGTTTGAACACCGGGTGTTTATATCGTCTGAACGCGGGTGTTGATATTTTAAACAATAACATTACAATTTTGAACACTTGCCTAAGCCTAGACATTTAATGAACATGTGGCATTAAAATATTGAACATTCGATATTTAAGTTCTGACTGCGTCCAGACGCGTCAGGCGTCGGTTATATGTACAGTTTTCTGGTGGAGGGTATCAGCCGCCAAATAGTCAGGACTTCCGAGGCTGTGTTGACATGAATTATCGTTGATATGGTCATTATTATATGTCAACTATTTACAAAAGTTAGAATTTTCGAAATACAAGGGATTTTCGACCCCAGGAATAGATTACCTGAGCTGTATCTGACAAAACCTTCGGAATTTGGGTCCTCAATGCTCTTCAACTTCGTACTTTATTCGGCCTTTTTTTTTAACTTTTTTGAATCGAGCGTCACGGATGAGTCTTGTGTAGACGAAACGAGCATCTGGCGTACAGAATTTTAATCATGGTATCTATGATTAGTTTATTTACAATACTTATCCTTGTAAAAATACAATAAATAGTCAAATTGACTACTCGTGAAGGCTGGTTCCATAAAGAATAGGAAAAATGCAGACATTAATATTTAGTTATCAAAATCACAGATTTCTTGGAGTAAAATGATGGTGGCATTTTAAATTCTTATAAATCGATGCATATATAAGACGTTATATCAGTTGCGTCATTGTGTTATAAGGTTGGACACAAATTACAACGTTTACATGTGATATCTTCATATATAGGTGAAGTTTATTGATGGTTACTCTTATCAGGAATTTTATTTAACAAGCGATAAATTTTGAGATTGTAAAATACCGGTATATAGCTTTATAGCCATGTGAACATAAACGTGATCGAAAATTCATGTTTCGTAATATTTGCTCTTCCTATTCATTGGCCTAATATTGTAACAAAAACATTGTGCATTTCATTTGGATTAAAGAACCCTTTTCATCTGGTTTGTATTGATTATGATAGTTCTAGGATTGTTGATCCATGATTTCAATTATTCTTCTGTCGAATAAATATGTAATTTTAAGTGGGATAAACAGTATATTGAAAATGTTATTCTTGCGGTTTTAAAGTGAAGCAGGTCCACTTTGCGTGCACGAGTGTAATGTTCTATTTCTGGGATTGTGGTATGTTCTCAAAACTATGAATTCATTGCAAAAACAATCGGTTGTGTCATGTTTACTGTTATAAAAGACGTCAACTGTCTATCCTTCCAGAATCTTCAGCTGTTTATTTTCTGGGTTGTGTTTCACGAACCTATTTATTTAATATTGTTTAAAATTATGAATAAATGATTGGTTTCGTCTGTTCACTAACAAGAACCGTTGAAGTTTACGAAACAATTGAATTTACGTGAGACACCCATTATATACCCCAGTGCCGGATCCGGGGGTTGGAATCCCCCTTTTTTTGACGATCGATGCATTTGAATGGGGACATATAGTTGGAATCCCCCTCCTTTATTCTGGGTTAGGAACCCCCTTTTTAAAATGACTGGATCCGCCCCTGTAGCCAAAAACATATAATACATGTCTTTGTTATACCCTGTGATCTTAAATTTTTTTAATATATTTGACACGTAATTTTCAAGAATTTTTTTTAAAAAGTGTCTGATAACCAGATCAGCCTTTTTGTTTTACTTCATGTGCTCAGATAGATTTTGAATTAGCAAACTTTCTTTCAGAGAAGACATTAATAAGTAAAAAAAACTTTTTTCTCGTCAATTTGTATAGTTTATGGACGATAAAATGTGTTTAAACTAAACATTCTTATGTTGTTCTCTCTTACAACTTAAGATAATCATTCGTGTGAGCTGTACACGAAGGTCATTTAGTAGAACTCACTCTAGAGTAATCCATACCTGTCTGTGTTCCTGACCAACTGCAGAACTCACTCAAGAGTTATCCGTACCTGTCTGTGTTCCTGGTCAACTGCACGACAGTTTTGCGTGGAACCATAGCTAAATTCTTTTACGCCATTTTCAACATAGGAATACGCCAATTTAATTCAATCTAATTGAAGACGCCTTTATATTTGTAAAAAATGTACATAACATGCCTTACTGAAGCAGTCTGCATGAAGCTTACTTTGAGATTACATGATAAAAATGTGTATTTTGATTGTTGAAATTATTTATTTAAAAAAAATCAGTACATGTATGTATATGAATAAATTTCACATAAAAATCAATGCGATGTATTTAATTTGAAAATAAGCTTAAATATATTATTCATTTTCCTCTTTTTAAGGACCATCAACAAAATAGACTATGTGAAAGTAGTACCTCTTTATACATATCGTCCAATACTTATATATCATGAAAATTGACCGCATTTTGATAAATTTCACTTAGTTAGAAATAGTTTTACTACAGATCTTTTTTTGGTACCAAATTCTCCTCCCTTATCATAAATTTTGCATGCCAGCACATAAGCGTTGACTACTAGGATTGTGACACCCTCTGGGACGAAACGTAAATTTCTATCTCCATAAAAAATGTTTAGGTTTAAGCGTTCTTGACGAAAGTAAACCAAGAGAAGCGCTTTGAACGCACGACGTTTATTAAGTAATATTTTTATTTAGTATGACAGTTTAGACCCGTTAGGTTTTTATGCACTCAAACTTTTAACTTGTTTTCCCTTTTCCACGCTCCTGATCTCGGGGGTATATCAAAGGTTATTCAAGAATCACGTGTCATGCATATGTTTAAGAACGCATATCTAAAGCGCTATGAATATTTGTTAAATTTCTATTGTGCTGTTGAAAACTTTATATGTTATTATGCTGAATTTATTTAACAATTCTGACAATCTTGTTTCTCTATTATTATTATTTGTATAAAATGTTTAAATTTTACTAATGAAATATAACTTTATTTACGGTAAAAGCTAGCTGTTGAGTTTTCTTTGTATACGAACCTACTTTGGAATTTACCGTTTTCCCCTTCTGTTATTTTTGATAAATGACCTATAATGAATTTTACTGTTTGTGCCGTTGTTGCATGTTATTTAAGCCAAATCATTTTGTAATGCCTTGCTCATGACAGAATGATCTATTAGATTTTTTTTCAGTCAAAACTACAGGTGCACTAAAATATAAAAAAGGTAAATTTGACCCCTAAACTGTATATGGTTATCTTTTATGAAGGTCTTACAGTTTTATGTGTAATACTTCTAAACTTTAATCATTGATAAGGGATAAAAGGTAAGTAGATTTTCAAGCAACATAGGAATGAAATAATATATATGTTTATACTTTGCAAGAAAAAATAAACCCACTCAATGTATCATATATTAAATACCTGTAACCTTTTTAGTAACATAAGAACATTGCACATTAATTGTATACAAAACAATATTATACAGAATACTTAATTATCATAAACCTTTTATGACCCTAGCTTCTGTACAATGCAAATGTCTATTTGTCTATTTGTCAACGGTCTTTACACATTTTATCTATATGAAGTAATTAACTGCACAGACAATATATCAGATGTAAAAATGGTTGCTACGCAACATTTTCACGTATCTCTTTTATGCTTTGAATATCTAGCATTGATTTATCAATTCAATTTCACCTGATCTTTCTTTCAGAATCTTCAGAGTGCACACCTTCAGAAAGCGGAATTCAATATTTAGAAGGTAATTATACATTTATGTAACATAAGTTTAAACTTTCAACAATGATAAAAATTATTATCAGATAATCATAAATGATAAGTAAAAAACAATGGAACTTGAGCCTCGACTCGTTGCTTAATTGGAGATGTAATCAATAGTTTTGGTCTTCAGGTATACAGTCTGTCGTTGCCTTTACAAACGACCATGCTGCGCAATGAATTCTGTTAGTAAGTAAAATATAACTGACAGAACTTTCGAAATTCATGACAGATATAACTGACAGCGCTTTCTTAATTTATGTCAGATATAACTCAAACCAGTTTCGAAATTTATGTCAGATATAACTGACAGAACTTTCGTAATTTATATCAGATATAACTGAAAGAACTTAAGCAATATACGTCAGATATAACTGATAGAAATTTAGTAATTTATGTCAGATATAACTGACAGAACTTTCGCAATATATGTCAGATATAACTTGCAGAACTTTCGTAATTTATGTCAGATATAACTGACAGAACTTTCGCAATTTATGTCAGATATAACTGACAGAACTTTCGCAATATTTGTCAGATGTAACTGACAAAACTTTCATAATTTATGTCAGAAGATTTCCCTGTCCAGAGGTGTACTTTATACTTCCTATGATTATTGAAATGTTTGTACGGATAGTTTCGTATTATTATCTATATATTACAACAACAACAACATCAACAATACTTTATTTTAAGGGGCGCATTACATTTGCGCGAATTTGGGGATTATTTTTTTTTACTTTTGCGCGCAGCTTTTGATTACATTTGCGCGCATTAATTTTACAGGTAACAAAGATTAAATAAAGATAATTCATAATAAATATGACTATAGTTATAATGAATTTGGAACATATTTGTAAATTTAAATTATATTTTATTCATATTTAATTCTGAAAAAATATACAGTGATCATGAGAAATCGCGCAATGGCTTAAGATATACATGTAACTTAGTTGTGAATATATCAGAGTCAACAGTATTCTGTTTCATAATTTTACCGAATAGTGATCGCTTTAATAAATATTATCATATCGGTTGAGAATTAGCTTCTCTTTTTGGATAACGAGTGGCCACATGACATTCTTTATTCTTTAGTAAAAAAATCCATCGGTCTTTAACAGAAATAAACGGACCAGAAAACCGGTCGTTAACAAACTTTTACATGTTAATGACCGATTGTGCGTGGTTTCTCTGTTTAGACTGATATCAATTTTATATTGGAATTGTTGGATTGTTTACCAAATGTTTTCGTTAATTATAAGACAAGTTGCTTTCTTTAAAAAAAGAAATGCAATCGTAAACCCAAAGGCTTGTTTGGCATTAAATATCAGATAATGGTTTGATAAAGATGTATTGTTTTATATTATTTTTGTTGTATAAGAATTAGAAACTGACATTGATTGTTTACTTACTGTAACTTCTGTTCAATGTGGGGTGAAATATTCTTGTTAAAGGAATCATTTTTTTTTGTATCTCCTCTCTGCCGAAAGACAACATGCTAAGTCACCCACTGGATGTTCCATTCTAAGGTGCTGTTTTTTTTTAGATAAGAGTTAATTAATTTTCAGGCTAAAGTTAAAATGCAAATGTGAAGAAATTTAATCAAGTAATGATTTGTGTTTGTAGCCAGTTTGGAAATAGTTAAAAATTCTATGCTGCATTCTTTTTTGATAATCCCTAACTAAAACCTTTTTTTTTAAACGTATCAAACTTGTTTATATATAAATATATTAATGATATATATATAACTACTCTAAATATCATAACAACAATGTTAAATCTGCAAATTGCGGAAGCAATTTTTTGTTTTTTCCTCCCGATATACTTTTAGATAATTACATTTAATGTTTCTTTTTTTAATATTGGTGTTGTTATTTTGTTTGGTCATTGGCTATCATATTCACGATTTTTTAATCAAATTATAAATACCATGCACGGGCAAAAAACTCAAACCTTATTTCTAGCTTGTCTTTTTGAAAATTTGCCCAAATAAAAAGAAGCTGTAGCTTTGTTGTTTTTATACGGCTGTGTGATAGAAACTATAAGGAAGCGGGAATGAAAAGGCCAATGCAGTATACATGTAGTTCATGTCCAGTACACAATTAAAAAAACAAATGTTATTTTTGCAATCGCCTGTCCGTTGAATAAGGATATTGATTTTCATTTTAAGAAAAATTATTTGTACTAAGCTGATTTTTTATGTATGTTTTTATTTTGCTTATAAGATTTCGTCCTAATTTTTCGCCAAACACGCTCTGGGCCTCTGTCAACTAGACCCTCTAACTTGACTTATGAATACAGATTGCCGCAACTCCTTGTAAATGAATTTACGGAATTCCCAAAACTTCATCTATAAGACCTATAAGACACAAAGCTGTGCACCTGCTACATTATGTTTTATCTAGGATTATTTAGGGAGGGGTTTCACATGACAAAAACAAAAGAATGGATTTTTTCATTTATAATTATTTTTTTTGGAGAGGGTAGTCGACACAGATTAGAAAACTCACTCCCCCCAAACAACAACAATAAAAGAGAAGACAAACGGATCTCTGACTTGATAAGATAATCATCACTAAATAAGTACGTATACAATATTGCTAATCTTTTCTCGAAAACCACATACCGGTAGTAATTTACAATAGTTTTCGATGGCAAACATCGAGGAATATAATAAACCCAATTGTTGTTTATCGCAATGACCATAAGTTTTAAAGAATAAGAAGTCATTGTTCTTGAATCGTTTAATATAGATCTATAGTATAATTTTAAGGACTTAGTCTAACGCGTATTCATCAATCAACTGTTTTGATATGACATAATTTTGCATTTAATTGGCCAGACACTTATGATATTTCACTGATTTAACACACCCAAAAGGTGCATTTTAAATTTCGTCTTAATTTCCAGATTTAACTGGCATTGTTTTCATATAACATTAATAAAAATATGGACATATGCAACGGTATGATTGCCAAAGAGACAACTATGTCTATATATATATCCACTAGAGTTCAAATGAAGTGGAGGTGAGCAATTACTGGCAACCGTATGGCCGTACTTAATTCTGTTAAGAATTTAAAAGCTGCTTAAATGGACTGCGCTCTTTTTTTTATTTCACTAAAATGGCCAAATTTTAAAATCATAAAAACGTCCTATATATATTCACTGACAGTCATTTTTTTCGCTTAAAATCTTATCCCACATTGGAGCACAGCTTGTGCTTCAGAAAACTTCACACATCATCTTCTATCAATTAACTACTGATGTAGGATATCTGTGACAAAATATATTGGTATAATAGTCCCAGAGGATATCAAATATATATATATAGTCTCGATAAACAATTATCTCTTCAACAACGGAATAACGGTAATGAATATTCATTATATCAATTAATTACCTATTACGCAGGTGGTCATAGAAAAGGACAGATGTATTCCGAAAAGACTTCCGGTGTTCCGAAAGACTACGGAGGTCGTCCAATATATACTGCGCAAACCCTCAGGGGTTTACGCAATTATAGAAAACTTTATTTTGTATTCATATACTAAAAATTGCACTTAAATGAATGGCAGTGACTTGTAGTTATCACTATGACTGGTCTTTACTCTTTCCTATAGAAATCGTACAATAACTCGAGTTTGCTTTGATCAATTTGAATTTATGAGATGTTTTAAGAACATGGTTCCTCAATGAAATAAACATAATAGTTATTGAAGAACTGGTCATTATCGTGATACATGGACTGCCCGTAGGAAAGTGGTATCGACAGGGGTTATTTCATGGCGATGCACTGTAAATAATTGCAAAAGGTATTTCACCAGATTCCCTATTTCCTCCAAGACTTTGGGCATCACCACAGTCAGCAGAATCCAGGCATAATATACAAACGGCCTGAAATCATTCCATACTCACTTCAATGAGCAATTTTATCCATGTTTTTTTTGTGCATGTTACGACATGCAAAATCAGTACTTTTAATCTTTAGATTTATTATGTTTTTACATTTTTATCTGTATATATTTCCAGGACTAATTAAGTGCTTGTGCACAATAAAACAGACTTATCCTGCTAGAAAATATTAGTTTAATAAATAAATAAGTATAACCTACCTTTATTTACCTGAGTTTAGCACTTAGGAGACGAATGTCGATCATTTAATTTTGCTATTTAGGAGAGGTATAGACGATTTTGAATTTTCAAAGCCAGGGAAAAGGATATAAATAAGTTTTTTTGCGAGCGACGCCAATTTCATGACCAACACTAACCAGGAATGCTCAGAGCTAAAAGTTAGAAAATGACAAAGTATGTGAACACAGTGGGAGTTATACATTAAAAGGATAGCAGAAATGAACCATTAACTTATAAGTAATGAAACTTACGGACTTTATTATTGCTTTATTTTGTGGGTGTACTTGAGCCAACAGCTATCCTTTAATATACAAAGAAATCTTGAAAATGAATAGAAGATTTAGCTGATATATATTAATTTTACATTTCAGGTTGATTTTTAATAAGTAATGGCTTTAGGTGGACAGTTTTTATTGTTAATGTGGAAGAACTGGACGTTACAAAAACGTAAAATATGTGTTACAGTTTTTGAGATATTGTTACCTTTATTTTTTGGAACAATCTTGGTACTTATACGCCTTCTTGTTGATCCAACCGACTATCCACAAGATACAATATGGTCGAATTCAAACTTCACTTCAAGTGGCTTAAGTAAAATTGTTTACACCAGAGGAGAAATTTTGTTTGCTCCAAATGATACTGCAATCAGAAAAACAATGACAATGGTCGGACACTCACTCACAGCACAGAACACCAATCTAACAAAATTTGTTAAAGGTAAGATACGTTATAAATGTCTAGTTAAAAAAAAGAAGTTTAAAGATCAGTGTGACAATTTATGTGTTTAATTAATTAAAAAGATTTAACTTTTCAATATTATCCCTCATTTTGAATTTGAGAAAACGAATATTTGTATTATAACACGAGAAAGCTATACTTACCGACAAAATCTATGTTTTATCATTTTGTATAAACCGATTTTTCCATAATGTTTTTGGTTCATTGAAAGTACTGGAAACACAGAGGAATCTACCATTATTTGGAACTATAACCGTCGAAAAATTGGAAATATGCCAATATCGACATCTTAGGCATTAAGTGGGAAAAACATTGTTTTGTGAGACAATTTTAGTGGTATTCATGATAATATTTAGTTGTGACGACACCAAACTTAGTTGGATTTTCATAGAATTATTAAAAATTTTAAATTGATATAAACAAAGAAGAACAATAAAATTTCAATAGTAAATTTAATGAAAATTGTGAATGTAAAATGATGTGAAATATACATTAAAATGCATCAAAAGATTGAGACACCAAACCATGCATTTTTATTAATTAAAAAATATAAAAATTTGGAAAAAAATATTGATACTAGTTTTGATATTAAAAAATAAAAGTTTACATTACTGTTATAGGTTTTGACAATGAAAAAGCATTACTCGACTATCATAACCTGTACCCGAAAAGGGTTTGGGGAGCTGTAGTGTTTGATAGCAAGCAACCGTATACTACTAGCCTTCCTAAAAATGTGGTTTACGATCTTCGAGTTTCTCCAGTACAACCAAGTGATAAATGGCGGACAAGATTAACATACCCCTTTGCACAGACAACTAGTCCTAGAAATAAGGATGCCGATGGCGGACCACCTGGTGAGTGCGTCTTTCTTGTTGTAGGTTGCAAAATCACACTTTATCACACTATCCAACAAAGAAGAAAAACACAACCGAAACAAACTAAACATGCATACAAATTGACGGCAGTTTTTACATATTTTTGTTCAAACATTTTATCTGTTAGAGTGCTCATCCGTATATATACGACTTTTGATTTAAACCAACTAATGAAATAGGTAAAGTTTTAGTATCCCTTAAAAATCTTTTTTTTTCGAAATAGGTAAAGTCTTAGTATCCCTTTAAAATCTTTGTTTTTCAATTATTTCTGAAATATTATGTGTGTGTTAATTTTTTATACTGCAGACCATATAAAAAACTGGCAAGCAGATGAATGACAAAGAAAACATTGCTTTTGCCTTTAAACATTCAATCAACCTCGTTTATGATGATCATTGCAATAATCCTATAAACTATTCTAGGGTATGTCGAAACAGGATTTCTACTCCTACAATTTGAAGTTGACAAAGCTATCATCAAACTGAAATCCAACCAATCAAATTTGTTTGATGACGTCATCATGCATGTAAAGAAGATGCCATACCCTCCTTATGTGGAAGATCCACTGTTGACCGCCATCCAAAGTAACTTACCTCTGTTTTTGATGCTTGGTTTCATTTTATATGTTATACAACTAACCAAGAACATCGTATTTGAAAAAGAACGAAAGCTTAAGGTAAAACATTTAGAAATTACTTACTAGTATTTTGATATATATATATATATATATTTTGATATATATATATATTTTTGCACCTCATGTTTGCGGTATACCATCTTTTCCGCAAGTTTTTTGATTTCTATTTGGTATTAGATTAAAATTAAGATCCATTTTGTTACATCTGTGATCTGTTTATTTGGCAATCGCCATGGCAGTCAGCAGGGTTTAAGAACATCCGTTGTTCGACCTGCTAGTAAAATGCGTTTTGTTAAAATATACTTTTTCACTTTTTGGTCTTTTGGAAAATGTTGTTTGTGCTGTATTTAGACCCCTCTACCAAGAAATTTGTTTTGCATGCACACGTATAAAAATTGCGATTTTTATCCAACGCAATCATAGGTTTGAACGTTGTTTTCAATTTAGACTTGTTTATATTTTTTCGTTTGGGCTTGTATTATATTTGCCTTCGGGTTTATATGATCCGTTCATCCTATTTCCACTCTTCAGAATTCAAGAGTCAATCCCAAATTGAGGTAAATTATATGGCCTTCCAAATACCGTTTCGATTCCTAACATCACTGAAGAGACATTAATTGTCGAAATCCAGATATGGTGTACAAATTTTTGCACCTCATGCTTGCGGTATACCATCTTTTCCGCAAGTTTTTTGTTTTCTATTTGGTATTAGATTGTGCTGTATTTAGACCCCTCTACCAAGAAATTTGTTTTGCATGCACACGTATAAAAATTGCGGTTTTTATCCAACGCAATCATAGGTTTGAACGTTGTTTTCAATTTAGACTTGTTTATATATATATATATATATATATATATATATATATATATATATATAGCGACATTTAATTTTTCTTATCCTCCGTACCATTTCATTTTAATTTAAAAACGTGTTTTTAAATAAAAAAAACTGATTTTATTCGTATTCATACAAAAATGAATAAAACAAGGTACAATGTACTATGCATATACCATAAAAGTATGACAAAAATACCAAACTCCAAGGCAAATTCAAAAAGTCCATGAAAACTGACAAACTCAAATGCTATCATTCAACGGAACAAGTGAAAAACAACTGCCAAAAGAACTTTCTGACAACATAAATAGATTTTTTTGTGTAAACTATGTGAATTTCGAAAGCATATAGGAATATGTTTATCAAAGTTATTTTTTTGTTCACTGTATTTCTATATAGGAGGGTTTGGATGAGAGTTTCCCCAAAAAAACCAGGGGGAATATTGGATAAAAGAACAAAGAAAAATGAAAAAAACTTTATGAAGATATAGAATAATGAGTTGTCAGAATATACAAAAAGAAAGCAGAAAAAGGCCTGTAAATTGAAGATACAGAAGTGATAACACCACATCGAGACTCTCATAAAGGGTCATAATAAACACTTAAAATCTTCTTAACTACATTACAGGTATTGAAGGAACATGTACTTATGGTCACAAACCTGCTTTATAATTATATAAAAATTCAATTTATTTACCGTGTGTCATGGCATATGAATTATATAGTTGAATATATATTTCTAGGAATCCATGAAGATGATGGGGTTAAGCCCAATTGTATACTGGTTATCGTGGTTTGTTACAGCGTTGATCTACTTAGTGATAGCCTGTCTGATATTTACTGTATTGCTGTCAGTAAGGGCCGGATCACATGGAAGCGTCCTCCCCAATTCTGATCCAACACTGATGTTTTTCTTCTTCCTCTGCTTTGCAATGTCTGTTATTGGCTTGTCTTTCATGATCAGCACATTCTTTAGTAAAGGTATGTTAAACAGTTGCGATGTGAAAATATTTCAATACAAAAAGTTAACCAAAAGTAGAATATTATTGTAACAAATGCTTGTTTGTTATAAGAGGAAAATGTCCGTCTGAACAAGAATGTATTTATATAAATGCGAATAAAAGATGTGGATTATATGTCAATGAAAAGGCAACCCGACGACAAATAAAAATTAACAAACAAGAAAAACGAAACAAGCAAAAGTATACTATCTATTTATACAAAACATTACATGAACAAATGTGAACACATTGTAAGTCATATAAGCAAATTTGAAAACATTGAAAGTTACATGAATTTTGATACATAAAGTTGTTGTTGTTGAATTCACTATGAATCTCCAAGGGGCATAACTATTTTAAAAATAATTGATCGGCAAAGATTTTCGAACTCATCCAAAACATTGATGATACAAACCTATAAAATAAATTTCATAAAATATCTGGCAAGAATTGAACACATGAGAGCGCTCACAAGGCAATTTTCCATATAATCAATATTTCCAAGGGGCATAACTCTTAAACATAGTTGATCGGCATAGATATTCCAACTCGTGCACGCTATCGCTGAGATAAATCTACAAAATAATTTTCATAAAAGTCTGGCAAGAATTATACACATGAGAGCACTAACGATGCAATTTTCCATACAATTAATGTTTCCGAGGGCATAACTCTTTTAAAAATAATTGATTGGCATTTTTTGGAATTTGTCTGAGACATTGCTGATTTAAACATATGATATAAGTTTCATAAAAATCTTGTAAGAATTGTACAAATGAGAGCGCTAACGATGCAATTTTTCAAATAATTAATGTTTCCAAGGGGCATTATAGAAATGAGAATGGAAATGGGGAATATGTCAAAGACACAACAACCCGACCTAAGAGCAGAAAACAGCAGAAGGCCACAATGGACCGGAGGCGGGCTTCAGCTGACCCCTTAATAAAAATGTTACTCTTTTTAAAATAATTGATCGGCACTGCTTTTCGAACTCGTCCAAAACATTGCTGATATAAACCTATGATATAAGTTTTATAAAAAATCTGTCAAGAATTGTACATATGAGAGCACTAACAAGACTTGACGGACGAAAGCCCAGTATTTCTATGCCCCCAGCCCCCCCCCCCCCCCCCCACAACCACTTGCCCCCTCCCCCCAATGCGTTGCGCGGGGGACAAAAACGCATATATGTTTGTCCTACTAGCGACTGACTTACCACAAGAGCGACTCCTTTATCAATAATCATGGCACCTAACCTTCCATATTAGGTTATTATTATTGATTTTTCATACAACCACCAATTTCATTAACTTGAGCTATTTTTATTCAGCAAACACGGGACTCTTTGCTGGAGGGATGATATACTTTTTGACCTACTTCCCTTACTTTTTCCTAAATAATGATGATCAATATGGAGCTATGACACTTGCACAGAAAGTTATGGCGTGTCTCCTTGGTAATGTTGCCATGGCATTTGGAGTCAAAACTGTTGCAGCGTATGAAGGCACAGGTATGTTTAATTTTTTGCAGGATGTTTCTTGCGTTATTTGAGGTCTACATGAAAATGTAATTCCAAAATAACTTGTTTACTATATTCCAGTTTGACTTTGCAAGCATTCCATAAATATCATAGTCATTACACGGAAATTTCTATATAATCATGTGTTTCTTTCTGTCAGTACTTTTATTTAAAATAACATACAGAAAGGAGTGTTTGCTTTTTTATACGATTTTTCAAAAGAAGAAATTAAGAGTCGGTTAAAAACAAATTCCCTTTTTTTACAATAGTCTAGGCATAATAGCATTTTTTTAACAGGTGAAGGTGCCCAGTGGTCAAACTTTTACAAACCACCTACAGTTGATAGTGATTTTACATTACTGACAGCCATAATCATGCTACTATGTGATACTCTTCTATATCTGCTGATCACATGGTATGTTGATGCTGTTATGCCTGGCGAATATGGAGTTGCAGAACCTTTTTATTTTCCATTCACTGTAAGTAAAATTTGAAAACTGTAATTTCATGTTAAAAATGGTCAACTTTAAAAAAAAATTAACTGGAGGACTTGGTGGCCGAGTGATCTCAGTAGTTCATATACGATGTACACTAGCCTGTCAACTTTGGTGTTGTGGGTTCGAACTCCGGTCATGGCGAGGTGTGCTAAACTCCGATCTTAATTTACAAATATTGCAATTTTTTTCTGCTGAAGGTCGGTGTTTTTTTCGGTACGTCGGCTTCCTCCACAAATATAAACTAGCTGCCACGGAATAGCTGAGGTCACTGCAATGGATGATAAACCCTTACAAACAAAAGAACATAAAATCAAAATTTGTTTCAAAGGTCAATATAATTAAAAAAAAAAACAGCACAGACACTGTCATGAAGATAATAATAAAACATAGCTATTGCGGCTTTCTTTTTAAGTTGTAATATTATTTAAAAGTACTTGGGAAATTATCAATGATGCCAGGCTAATAATTAGTAACATCAGCCGCGCGTTTCATCTAAAATAGACTTTTCAGTAACGCACAAATAACAGTTGAAGACCATTAAAAACCAAACATTTCGAAAAGGATAAGTATATCTATGCCCGGGCTTGAAAACCTTATTGTTTATAGAATAAATAAAATAATTCCTTGCACTACTCTATGTTTCCTTCTTATTTGTTTCCTATTAAAGGTATTGAAGTAACGCTTTATTTTTATTATACCTCAGTATCTTCCACTCGAAGTGCATTGACTTTTTCAGAAAAACTATTGGTGTGGATCAAAGAAAAAGGCGATGTATGAAAGAGAGCATTCAGTAATTGGTCTAGATCCAGCATACTTTGAGGCTGAACCTTCAGACAAGAAAGCTGGAATAGCAATACAGCATTTAAGAAAGGTATCTCATTAGCCAAAAATTTTGTTAGTTTTAGTTTTTTTATACCAAAGGTGTTGACATAACATGGATACTATTAGGATGGATTTGTAACTTAGTTGTTTAAAAAAAAAGAATATCTGCCTTGTCTTTGTTTTTATGCCCCGCAACTGAAAGTTATGGGGGCATATTGTTTTCCCCTGTCCGTCCGTCCGTCCCTCTGTCCCAATATGGGCATATAGTTATTCATGATAACTCCTCCTATAATTTGAATGCTAGGAAGTTTTCACTTTGTTGGCTGTTTGTACATATATTGAAGGTATGCATGTGGTCAGGGTTTTTTGTTTTTTTTTAATATTTGCTCTTTTGGGAGATAGTTGAACTTTGTCGTTTTTGGATTTTATACATGCATAAGAGGTGCCTAGCGTTTCCGGATAACTCCTCCTACAGTTTGAATGCTAGGAAGTTTTCACTTTGCAGGCTGTTTGTACATACATTGAAGGTGTGCATGTGGCCAAGGTTTTGATTTTTATTAATATTTGCTCCTTTGGGAGATAGTTGAACTTTGTCATTTTTGGAGTATATACTTGCATAAGAGGTGCAAAGCGTTTTCGCAAAGCTTGTTCTACAGTAAACCATAGACCTATGTGCTCCGATGCTCAACTTTGTGTATTTTAAAATAACATTTTGCATCTGCAGGTGCATCATTTGTGTCTCACAGACACAATTATATCTCAAAGAAAGTCCTTAATGACTTTGTTATAATACAGTTACTTCAGATTGGAGTGCGGGGGAATCGCTTTGTCTATTTTATATCTTGTTTTAATAGATTTCAAGATGCAGTTTTCATAATTAATTGATTTTCATTAGAAAAAACTAAATTGTTTTCAATAAAAAGTTGATTTGTTTGTGCATGCATGTTACCAATTTGTGACAAAGCAAAAAAGATCTGTGAGAAGATCTTTATCCGCCAAAATAAAGCTTTATATTAATAATTATCAAGTTGAATAGTCATGTTTTCTCAGTTAAATCATCATGGATATGTCAAAACTTTTATCCTTTCATATCTCTGCATGATATAAACCTGGTTTGAGTGCTCCATGCAAAGTATTAGCATTCGTCATTGCACGATTATACAGATCTAGGAAAGTTTGTTTTGTAATTGTATATCAGGATCTCATAACCCTTTCGTAGCAGGTGAGATCACTGGGTTTTGGTGGGGTTTGTGTTATTGAGACTGTTGTTTGTTTTGTGGTCGTTTTTCGGGGGTTTTTTTTGGCCGTTGCGTTGTCATTGTGCCTTCGACTTTTGATTGAGTTTGTTTATTCCTGTGGTATCTTCTTACTGCCTCTCTTTTGATACATAGTATAGTTAAGGATGTTCGCTACTCTGTTTCAAAATTACAAACTTTTTAAAAGACTGTTATAATTTGATAGTATATAAATAACAGAACTAAAAAAGCAGAAAAAAATGAAGGGTCCGTGTGCTTGTTTTTGAAATATAAGCCGGTGAAAATGTGGCGGGAAATGACTCTCTCTAGATTTTTCATACTATTAACATTGGCACTGTTTTTCTTTCAAAAACTATGAAGAAATAACAAGGATTTTATAAGATTTTCAAATATGGCTTTTTAAACTATATGTTATAAAATTATGATAAGAAAAGAAGGGCTTAGTGGGCAAAATTTTTAATGGCACTACATGGACAAAACCAGAGGATTTTGAAGATATTACAAAAATCCAAACACGAGGAGTGAACATTGTTTTCGACCAACCATCTTATTTCAAACCTTTAAAATACGGGCTTTACCTTGTATCGACAACTTTGGAAGGGGCAAAGTCTCACAGAATTATACTATTTTAGGTTTATGGAAATGGTAAAAAGAAGAAAATTGCTGTAAGAGATACGACACTAAACATGTATGAAGGAAATATAACTGCACTTTTAGGTCATAATGGAGCTGGTAAAACAACGACTATGTCTATGTTAACTGGCAAGTTATACATTATTTTATTTTGTTTATTTTATTACGTTTTATAAATAAACTGGTATTTGAATTTTTTAAGGATCCAGCGTCACTGAAGAGACATTGAAAGTTCCAAACTGCGCATCTGGTTTAGTGAAGTCAGTAAGGTGGATCATATTTTGTACCCCAAGCGTCGCTTAAAGGCATTCAAATGCTAAAAATGCGGAATTGGTTCATTAAAAGTGGTAACGTCAATGTTATTATTCAGGTCGTATATGAGGAAAAGCTTTTTTACCAAACAATGTTTTCCCAATTTTTTGGTTTTATTTCAAAAATATAAATTATGTCATTATATTTCTTGTATTCAGCTGCTACATTATTAAAATCAGCAGAACTTTAAAATTAGAAAAAATGATACAAAAAAATAATTCATTTTAGTTGGAAACATTGTTGACATCTCTTGATAATGTGAATGCGGGATGACCAACTTATATCCAACAAGAATCACTTGTATTTTTTTCGCTAAAAATTCGTCAACAAAAACGATTTATCATATGATAAAACAAGTTAAGAGCAACACAATTCGCGTCTCTAAACGTGTACTCTTCTGTAGTATAAGAGTTCATTCTGATCTTAGTCAGTGTTGTTAGCATTATTTATTTTTTTAACATCGGTAGACTACTGTTGCCTTTATTTAGTAAGGTTCTTAAATAATTCTATTTTGTATTGAAATTCCTATTTTTATGCTAAAACAGACAATGATTGGACATTTCACATCAAATTTTGTTAAGATGGAAGATTTATAAATGTCGATGATGGTAGTATTTCATATTATTAGAGCATATGATTTAAGTGTGTATAACTCAAAACGAAATAATATCAAAGATTCCTTGTTTGCTAGACGGACACTTAAATCAGTATATATTGAAAGAGTTAATTACAATCAAGTAATAATACGACACAGGTAATATTAGGTTGACTGTAAACCATGTTTGTTCAGTATTCTATATATGTTTTAACTTGCAATGCATTCACCTAGCCAATACGCAAACTTAAATATTAAACGTTTTTAGAAATCACAGAAAGCTCAGCTGTAAAAAGACATGCTATATCTTTTGCATAAAATATACTTACAGGATTTATTGAACCTACCAGTGGCACCGCTCAAGTAAACGGATATGATATAAGAAAAGACATAACAAGTGTTAGAAAAAGCATTGGTCTCTGTCCACAGCACAATATCCTGTTTGAAACAATGACAATTGAAGAGCACTTAAGATTCTTTGCGAAGGTACACTACTTATTGATTCTTTGAATTGGTTCTATAAAAGATATAAGGACTTCGAACTAAATTTAAAAAGGTTATAAAAGGTAAAGCAAAAAAGAGTTGAAAAATAGTATTATGCAAAAAATATAACGAATTTTCAAAATGTATCGTCTGTTCATTTAAACCGTATTTGAAAATCATAAAGGCATATGATTATTCGTTTTTTGTAAATTTTATTATGCATTTGGTAGCTGTAGCGTAAAACAAATGGATACAATTTCCTATCGGAATGCTTATATATATATATATTTTCAAATGCTTAAATTCTTTGAATAAGATATTTTCTTCAGTAATTTAAGATAAAAATATATATGTCAAACCATGATATTCTGTATATTTACGACTTTTATTGAAAAATTATGTCTTTCAGCACAATTTACGTTTCGTAACGTGTGTTTAAAATTTCACCAAAGATACCACGCTTATAATTTATAACTCCATAAAACATATGAATAAAAGGACAAAACATTTCATCAATAAAAATTTAATGATGATGACCAATTTTTTTCTTTTCTTTTTCAGTCTTTTTTATTTTATTTTCGAAACAAAATTATTTTATTTGGATTATTTTAGTTAAAAGGCTGTCCATCTAAAGATATCAACAAGGAAGTAAATGAAATGATATCTGTTCTTGGAATAGAATCCAAGAGAAATAAGTTTTCCAGTACCTTGTCTGGAGGACAGAAACGGAAGTTGTCTGTTGGAATTGCCCTTATTGCAGGATCGAAGGTACACATATGTATATTATGAATTGAAAGCATGACACTTGTTGTAAAAGCGCTATTGCATTTCAGAAGCACATTTCACAGCGATTCTAGAATCCTACAACTTTCAAACTAAAGTTCAATATAATAAGACTGTATTTTTGGGCACTGGATTCTTTTTTATCATGTCGAAATAGAAATTATTTTTTGTTTGTTTATACTTGTATGACAGTTGCTCTATGAAGGACAAATTGAATAGTTTGATAGAACATAAAAAGGTACAAACAAACGCATTGATTTAGAAGAAAACCAAATTATAATGCTATTACTGGTATTTACAGAATGCATTACTAATTAGAATAGAAATACAACCAACATCAACCCCAGTTAAAAGAATGCCAGAAATTGAGCCATAAATTTGGTAAAAAGTAAAATAATAAAAATACTGAACTCCAAGGAAAAATTCAAAACGGAAAGTCCCTTAATCAAATGGCAAATTCAAAAGCTGAAACACATCAAACGAATGGAAAGTAAATGTTATGTTCCTGACTTGGTACATATATATTTTTAAATTTCCTGTCGCAAAAGTTTCTGCAATATGTCTCCAACTTGTGACGTCAATAACTTCATTCCGTTTCTATTCGGCATCTGTTTTAACACAATTTGCATATTCAACAAATCAAACAAAACAACTTTCGTTGAGTTTTCATATAAATATATGTTAAGTTCTCACTTCAAACTAAAATGTAAGGCGGAGGACATTAGTTTGCAATTCCGTATACCAGTCACTATTACATTCAATCTTATCGAGTACATACTTTGAAGGCATGTTGCGGTTGTTTGAATTGCCAGTTAATGCCGACAACAAAATTAAAAGAATGGTTATGTAACATACATGAAAATCTGTCCACCAAATGTAGACGGTAATGAATTAATTACATAATTTTAAAGTGACGAAACTCATTTACTTACAACGATATCGTGGAAACATCACAAGGCCTTTCTTGCATAGAAACATTTACAAGTGCCCACTGCTATTAAAGACTATTGTAATAGCAACAATATGCATAATTCCAACAGCAGCAACATTATGAGGACACTACCAATTAATCCCTATTCCATTTGCAAAAATGCAAATGTTATAATATGTGGATAGTGTTATTGATTTGAATGTTTTATAAACAGTATATTTACTGACCTCATCAATGATATTTTAAGTTAGCATAGGAACACGGACTACTGGGCTGGTACCCCCATGGACTAAACGTCTATCAGCAATTAGAAAAAAAGTAAAATCACAAAAATACTGAACTCCGAGGAAAATTCAAAAAGGAAAGTCCCCAATCAAATGGCAAAATAAAAAAAACAAACACATCCAACGAATGGATAACAACTGTCATATTCCTGACTTGGTACAGGCATTTTCTTATGTAGAAAATGGTGGATTGAACCTGCTTTTATAGCTAGCTAAACCTCTCACTTGTATGACAGTCGCATCAAATTCCATTATATTGACAACGATGCGTGAACAAAACAAACAGACACAATAGGTAAAAATGTCAAAAATAGGGGTACAGCAGTCAACATTGTGTTATCATCTTAATCACTATAAAAACAAACAAATGTAACGAAGAAGCACAACAAGGCATACATGAAATTTAACATCCTCATTTTGCTTATATTATACGATTTTATTTATCTATGTAAAATCCACCCATTACGAAAATTTTAAGCAGTGAATGCATATATATGCATTGCTTTACATCTATCTGTAAATTTTCAGTACAATTAGAGCATTTTGATTTTTTTATTTTTCTGCCGTTTCCATGGCAACGGCGGCCATTTTGGAAATTCCAAAGTCAAAAGTCTCATCTACACTTGCAAGATAACATTAAAATTAAGTTTCATTAAGTTTAGAGCATTTTGAAATTTTTGACATTTTTTATGTTTCCATGGTAACGGCAGCCATTTCTAAAATTCCAAAGTCAAATAGCAACTCTGTACATGCCAGTTAACATTTCTGTAAAGTTTTATCAAGTTTGGAGCATTTTGAAATTTTTGTACATTTTTGAATTTATGCTGTTTCCATGGTAACAGTGACCGATTCTAAAATTTTAAAGACAGATGCCACTTTGGCAGATGACCAGGAATATACCATGAAAGAATCATGGAATTTGACCTACCATTATAAGTGAGTAAATGCTACTTTTAAGAATTTCCCATAGGGGCTAATGGTAAATGTTTCTCCAGTTTCCATGGTAATGGCAGCCATTTTGGAATTTCTAAATATGGTCAACACATCTAGGCATGCCAGACTACATTCCACTAAAGTTTCATCCAGTTGGGTCTCATAATGAAAGATTTAATGGATTTGCAATTTTTTTTTTTTCACATTTTTTCTGTTTCCATGGTAACGGCAGCCATTTTTTAGTTCCAAAGTTGCACTGCAACTCGTTAGTCAGGGTTCCTTGTTATAGTGCCCCATCATTCAGATTGGTTCCTTTGGCTCCGCGAAAAGGGGCGGACAAAATTAGGTGGAAGAAAAATAATAATAACTAGAATTGCCATTGCAAGCAATAGCGGATGTCACCCTTCCCCCATTGCCACTAGATTGCAGCCAGTTTTAAAATTTTAAACAGTGAATGCACATATATACTGATGGCTATACATCTTTCTGTAATTTTTTAGAACATTTAGCGGATTTACAAATTAAATGCATAATTTTTCCTTTTTTGCCTTGTTACCATGGTAACTGCAGCCATTTTTGGAAATTCCAACGCCAATTGCCACTTCCACACATGACAGTCAACATTATTGTGAAGTTTCATTAAGTTTGAAGCATTCTGAAATTTTTGCTCCTGTATCCATGGTAACATAAAAGTTCCAATGATTGTCAAAATCATTCAAAACCTGTATATAATGGACAACTATATTGTATAAAAATTTGATGATTTTAATTTAAAGCATACCAAAATTATTCAACAAACCCTGAAGTTTTTGGAGCATTTTGACCTTTTTGCATTGTTTCCATAGTAACAGCAGCCATTTAGGAAATTCTAACTCCAAATGCCACATCTTCCAAAGTTGCTCATCGTTACTGTGAAGTTTCATAAAGTTTGGAGCATTTTGATTTTTTTGAAATTTTTGATGTAGTTTCCATGGCAACATAGTAGTTCCAATGATTGCCAAAATCATCCAACACCAGTATATAGTGGGCACCTACATTGTATTAAAATATAATGATTCTCCATTTAAGCATATCCAAATAGTTCAACAAAACCAAAAACTTGATTTTTTCACATTTGTTCCGTTTCCATGGTAACGGCAGCCATTTTTTATATTCTTAAGACCTACTGCAACCCGAAATTTTGTGTTCCTCATTATAGTGAACTATCATAAAGATTGGTATCATTGGCTCCAAAAAAACTGCCGGACAAAAATCATTGGAATAATAATAATAATAATAACAAAGAAACAGAGGAAAAGCAATATGTCACCCGACATTGTCGATCGGGTGACATAACTAGATTTGCCATTGCAAGCAATAGCGGATGTCACCCTTCCCCCATTGCCACTAAGCGGCAGCCATTTCAAAAAATTTTAACAGTGAATGCACATATGTGCATGGCTATACATCTTTCTGTAAATTTTCAGTAGATTGGGAGCATTATAGAAATGTTCAAATTTTTGCCATTTCCATGGCAACGAGCCATTTTGAAAATTTCGAAGTCAAAAGTCTCATCTTTACTTGCCAGTTAACAATAATATCAAGTTTCATTAAGTTCAAAGCAATTTGAAAATTGTTGACATTTTTGCAGTTTCCATGGCAACAGTGGCCTTATTGGAAATTCGAAAGTCAAAAGTTTCATCCAGACTTGCCAGTCAACAGTCATATTAAGTTTCATCAATTTTGGAGCATTTTGAAATTTTTGAAATTTTTGACATTCGTGATGGTTCCTATGGTAACAGAGACCATTCCTAAAATCTAATGGCAGATACCACATTGGTACATGGGAGGGAACATACCATCAAAGTTTCAATCGATTTGACCTACCATTTTAAGAAAGTAAATGCTACTTTAAGGTTTTTGGAGCATTTTGACCTGTTTTGCATTGTTTCCATGGTAACGGCAGACATTTTCGAAATTCCAACGCCAAATTCCACATCTACCAATGTTGCTCATCGTTACTGTGAAGTTTCAATAAGTTTGGAGCATTTTGATATTTTTGAAATTTTTGGTGTAGTTTCCATGGCAACATAATAGTTCCAATGATTGCAAAAATCATCCAAAACCAGTATATAGTGGGCACCTACATTGTATTAAAATCTAATGATTTTAAGTTTAAGCATTCTCAAATAATTCACCAAACTCCAAAATTTTATTTTTTCACCATTTTTCAGTTTCTATGGTGATGGCAGCCATTTTTTAGTTCCAAAGTTGCACTGCAACTCGAAAATCAGGGTTCCTTGTTATAGTGAACCATCATTCAGATTGGTTCCTTTGACTCTGAGAAAGCGGGCGGACAAAATTAGGTGGAAAAAAATAATAATAATAATAGGGAAAAAGAAACAGAGGAAAAGCAATATGTCACCTGACATTGTCGATCGGGTGACATAATAATAGGGAAAAAGAAACAGAGGAAAAGCAATATGTCACCCGACATTGTCGATCGGGTGACATAATAAAGATAAATAAAAGAATACTATAACCCGTTATTAAGATGATAAACAACGTCAGTACGCAAAATCTATACTTCAAGAGTCAAGACCATCGTGTATTATTTGTGAAGTTGATACGGAATATTTATCAACAAGTTCTTGGTACCTTCCGATGAACTTTTTTAGAAAAAGGACGAGACGTTCTTTGACATACCCCTGGTTCATCAACTTTCTGCTCAGACACTGGTGACGTTTTACAAAGTCTGACTTGCTGTTTGTAAAACTCACCATAACTACAAGACTTATAACTCATTACACCAGACTCGTAAAAAACACTCTGCGAGCCACTTAAATTAAGGCAACAGATGTTAACCAATGTTCAAATCTCTAAAGTGATTAAGAAGACAAATGATGATACAAATAAAATTTGAGAGATTCTCATGAAGCATGAAAGGAGCGAGAACAGGTGGTATCAAAAGATCTAAGACTGCGAAAATATGTTGCTACCAAGTCAGGAATTTGACAGTTGTTATCCATTCGTTTGATGTGTTTGAGCTTTTGATTTTGCCATTGGCTTAGGGACTTTCCATTTAGAATTTTCCTCGGAGTTAGGTATTTTTGTTATTTTGCTTTTTGCTAATTAGTTGAGACACAGACATATAATATCGGTCAACATTAAAACTTATGGTATAAATAATTTTACCTGTTGATCAAAAATAGACATAAACACTCTTGTAATTCTTTTTTTGAAAACTATAGCGTGGATAAAACGTATTTTGAATTGTAGAACGAACTGTCAATGGTATTTTATACTGTATGTACATTTCCGTTGTACTCAATGAATTATTGTTTGTACTGGTATATCATCTTTAAATTCTAAGAACCTAAAACAAAAATCATTCTTTTGTATGCATTTTCAAATTACTGCAGATAATCAAGGTATATCAAATTCAAATAATGTTATTTCTATCCTAACTATTACTTATTAAAATGCGAACTTTTTATACTCATAGACAGTTATATTGGATGAACCGACTTCAGGGATGGACCCAGCAGCCAGAAGGCAAACTTGGGATATACTGCAGAAGTTTAGAGAAGGCAGAACAATTGTCTTGTCAACACATTTCATGGACGAAGCTGATCTTTTGGGTGACAGAATTGCCATTATGGCAGAAGGGGTTGTGAAATGTTGTGGAACATCTTATTTTTTGAAAAAGACATACGGTAAATTCACTATTTATAGGTATTTTGAACTTGCATTATAAAAAAGTTTTCTTTATTCTAAAATGAATTATTTTATCATTTATACAGAGGCAAGCCTTTTTTGAAATGGAATGATATCTTAGTATCAACGCTGCAATATAAATAATATATAGATATCATGAAATAGAAAATAGTACTAAAACTTTGATTGTTTGCTTCAACGTTCCTTCATATAGTCACGATAGTTACGCCATTTACAAATTTGGGAAAAAATTGAAATATGATTGATGCATTCAAGATAACATCCTTTGATATACTAGGAAATAAAGAGAATAAATTCCTAAATCATATAATGAGCAGGGTTTCTTTGCTGTGCTACACCTTTAAGAAGATATAACTACTTTTCCGTTGAAAATATTTGTCTAATACGTTTAGACTAGGTAAAATGCTTCTCACATATGTTCATTGTATATTTGTTTTAAATCATAATCTTTTCTCACCGTATTACTATCTGCTACGTTGCGTTCTCTAGTTGTATCTAGATAAATTTTGTCTCAATGCTGAAAATTAACCATCTTTTATTGTATCATGATTCTGTTACCATCTTTCCTTTATGAAATTGAATATGTTCAATTGAAGGTGCTGGATATCATCTTGTTATGGTCAAGGACAAATCATGTAATGTTGCCAATGTAACAAACGTAGTAAAGTCTCATGTGTCTACAGCATCATTAGAGAGTGAAATCAGTGCTGAACTGTCATACCTGTTACCTTTTGATAAATCAGAATTCTTTGAAAAATTACTGTTGGAAATTGAGGCCAAGAGTTCAGAACTTGGTATTGCAAGCTTTGGGACAACAGCAACTACAATGGAAGAAGTTTTCTTGAAGTGAGTGTTAGAAACTAAAATAATCAGTTATGCAATCAGAAACATAAACCTTTTTTTTTTTTGATTTTTCAGAAAAGTTGTTCAAGCATACACATTTTAGTATATTAAAACTTATTCTTGTTAAAATAGAAGTTGCTGCATTGTAACTTGTTAAACCAGTGGGCTTTGCAGTCAGGAAAGTGAACTTCATTAATATTAGTCCTATACAATACTTTTTTGTAAAGTAGGATCGTTTTTCATTATTTGTAAGCGACTGAAGTTTACCGCTATTTTGAATTAACAGCTTTTGTGGACCTTGAGAGACTTTAAACATTTATGATCTGTTGTACAGTATACCCTTAGGCCCATTATTTATCTTGAGACCATGTGTTGAAGGCTTTGATACATAAAGAAAGTGTTTGTCATTGTGGGACCACACTGTACTTCCATTTTGATTCGACAAGTTTAATAAACTGTCTCTCATAATCATACTAGTAGACCGTTTATCTAGCCGCTTTTAAATTTGCAAGTATTTTAAGTCATCAGGTGTAGTCGACCACACTTTTCAACCATTTTAATATGTTAAATGGGATTATTTGTTGAATTGGACTATTATTACATGCATGTTTCTCAAAAATGAATTTGATTTTGATAATTTTTAAAGTACCATGCCTTATGTTAGTAAATACAACGTTCTAACAATATCATTCTATGTTACAAGGAAGTGGGATTCATTACCAGAGGCGGATTTAGGGGAGGGGGGGGGGCTTTTGTGGGAAAATTTGGTTGATTATTTAGGAAATCATTGTAGCATGACTGGAGCGGGCCCAATCTTAGGCAGTCATTCCCCCCTTTTTGAAAATGGTTACGGTGTGACCATTTTTTTATATAAATAGCATAAAATGTTAAGTTACAAACATTTATCAATGTATACATCTGTTCAATTTGAAAACCATGTAGATGGGATATGAATATTTGCTAATGTCTTTTTTTTTTTGTATGTATGCTATTTCTCGGCTGTATTTTGTATACAGGTATAATTCTTAACATATCGATCGCTTTCAATTGAGACAAAAGCCGTATCTTTGTTTTCTTACTATAGAAACTTATTCATGTTATAGGGTTGGAGAGTCGGCAGAGGAGGAGGAAGACAGTCCAGATAAAAATAAGTTGGATAATTTTGAAAATCCTGCATACACAGTTGATAACAAATCAGAGAAAAATGGTTTCAGTTCTGGGGCAGAAAATGTTTATGTCAATTCAGTCGGAATGACACAAACAGCAAATGGTCAATTCGTTTGTAAGTTTTGCATATTATGTTGAAAATATTGCTGATGATGTAGTGATTTGAATATTAAGTTTTAATATTGGGTGATGATTTGACTGTCCAAAGTCTGAAGCCTCATGGTTTAGTGTCCTTATTTATTCATGCTTCATTTTATTTAAGAAATTATGACAGATTAAGAAGCCTCTTACTTTTGTTTTTTAATTTGTTTATACTTAGTCGAGTTAATGTTTGGTATTAACAATTTTATATCATTGATAAAAACCACACTTAGAGGTCTTTTGATGAATAAAACTTGAGTTTGTTAATATGTAATTTCAGAAATTAAACTTGATCTTTGTCATGATTGAGATAATTTATATGTTTCTACGATTCTGCTACCTTCAACTTTAATTTGATTCTGGTACATTACTAATACAAACAACCTTTTTCGTGTTGTTTTACAAACTTCAGTTTTGCCTTCCATAAAAACGTTGATTTTGAAAGGTCAAATTTAGTTCAACTTGTTCAATGTATCTTATTATTTTCATTCATAGACATTTTAAAGTGTATCTTTTTATGTTGTAATGTTACACTACTGTTTAAAGTTAGGGTGAAGGTTGGCGCCTGTTAAAACGTTTAAACCCGCTGTATTTGTATGCACCTGTCCTAGGCCAGGAGCCTGTTGTTCAGTGGTTGTCGTTTGTTGGTGTGGTTCAAGTGTTTCTCGTTTCTGGTTTTTTATATAGATTAGACCGTTGGTTTTCCTGTTTGAATTGCTTTACACTAGTCATTTTGGGGCCTTTTATAGCTTGCTGTTCGGTGTGAACCAAGGCTCCATGTTGAAGGCAGTACTTTGACCTATAATTGTTTACTTTTTATACATTGTGACTTGGATGGAGAGTTGTCTCATTGGCACTCATACGACATCTTATTATTTATACTTACCTAGACGAAACACTTGTTTGGCGTACTAAATCATAAGCCTAATATTCTTGGCGAGTTTTTACATTGTTTTTATGCATTGTAGTTTTGATTTTTGTTTTATAGCACACCAAGGAAAAAAATCTTTTTTCAAAATATACTTAATAAAAGGTAATAATTTACCAAAGTCTTCACTTGGAATAAAATGTAGAAAAAATCATGATTTTAAACTACAACGGGATTTAACTTCATAATTCCATAAAAGTTGATTCAATGTCTTGGTTATCTTAGTTAACAATGAAGAAAATATGTACCTTTTTATTGAGACTCTGTTTTGTAAGCAGTTCCAGTTTTTCATTTCAGCATTTAACAAAGACGTAAAGAAAAACTATGGAATTCACTTAATGGTACAACAATTTTATGGAATGTTTGTGAAGAAAATAATTCATACGATACGAAATCGTGTAGTGACAGGCGTTCAGTTGATTGTTCCTGTAATTTTTACAATCATGGCATTGTCAATTGAACTCTCTGTACCGAAAGTCACTGATGAACCTGTCTTGACTATGAACTTGGTCCCTTTTGGAAATGGGTTAACAGAGCTTTATTCCTTTGGTGCAAGTCCAACCAATTTTACAATAGGTGTAGCTACCAAGTACAATAATCTTCTGAGTTCTCGAGGGGACTATCCAATTAATAGTACAAATAATGGTCCTTTCGATAACGCTACTCTTAGTAAAGCAAAAACAGTCGGTATCGCTACTTTTAATAAGAAATATATAATTGGTTTAGATATGCAACAAGGTGTGCAGGGTGGGAACCCCGTAACAGAAATGACTGTTTATTTTAACGGCCAGCCATTTCACGGTCCATCTATAGCAATGGCGTATACCATGAATGCAATTTTGAAGTACGCAATGTCCAATAATGATCACTCTATCACAACTAGAAACTTTCCATTGCCAATATCTCTATCAGAAAATAGTCGAGGAATATTCTTCTCAACCATTGGAACAGGATTTACCGTTGCATTCACCGTGATATTTGGAATGGCGTTCTTGATCGGAAGCTTCGTTATCTTCTTAATCAAAGAACGAGCCAGTGGCGCTAAACACTTACAAAAAGTCAGCGGGGTTGGAGACGGAGAATTCTGGTTTTCTAATTTCTTATGGGATTTGATCAACTATTTGATTCCAGTATTTCTAATAGTTATAGTATTCGCTGCTTTCAACACAGATGCATTTGTAAAGGATCACCGTCTTGGACTCTTGTTTTTAATGTTTCTGCTGTTCGGCTGGAGTTCTTTGCCTTGTGTGTACGTCATGCAGTTTCTATTTAAAACAGCACCAGCTGGAATGGTTGCTGTTAGCATGCTGAATATTTTATCAGGTAACATTGTGTTATATTGTAAATTTAATGTATAAAAGAATAAGAGAGAGAAGAAACCAAATGGTGCAATTAAGACTATTTGATGAAGTTGACTTTTGGAAAATAACTTTGCTTAAGCGTGGAAACAAAATTAAACAAGAAACAAAAAGGTCACATTAATATCATCGGACAGTATAATTATAATCGTCATTGCAATTTTAAGGAGCAAATTATAGGACAATCAATCTTTTACCAATTCAATTGTTTGACAGTAAGGAGGGTTAATTTTAGTAAAAATCATCTAAACAGCTGTATTTTATTAATTTTAAGATTTCATGAAATCTTTATTGATATCGATTATACATGCAAAAAGACAAAAAAAAAAAGAATGGTTGCTGTTAACATGCTTAATATTTTATCAAGAAACATTGTTTTATATTGATAAAGCTAAGTTAGGGGGAACATATTGTTGGTAAATAATTACAAGAGAGGAAAAAGGTCTCACCAATATGATGTCAGACAGTTTATCTTTTTTGATGGTGATTTTTTATGAAGAAATAAAAGAGAAACATCGGCATTTTGGAATGTAGGTATTGTTAATTTTAAGATTTCACACAGACTTTATTAATATTGATTAAACATACGAATAGACAAAATGTTATGATGTAGGTCTCTTTTCATGGCTATGTATACATTTAACATTGCCAATTAATAAAAACTATCCCTTTTCATTTATAAATAGTATTTTTATGACTATTTGTGTTTGCAGGTTTAGCAACCTTGATGGCAGTTTTTGTTTTAAAGATACCAAGTTTAGATACTGCTGACGTTGCCGATGCGCTAGACTGGGTTTTTGCTATAATTTTTCCTACCTATTGCATGGGATCTGGTATAATGAATGTCTACACAAATTATGGCTATACAGAAGGATGCAAAGAAACTCCTAATTTTCCTGGAATTTGCGCTAATGTGCCACAAAACCCATGTTGTCCAGGTATGGTAAAATAGTTATCCTCTAAGATGTCCTCTCACTAAATAATTCAAAGTTTGGTGACTATGTTGAAGGCGTCTATCCCAACGAATTTGAAATAAAGGATACAACAAATACAGTTAGGTCTACCTCGTATTTTGACTTTCATCCAGAAATTGACAATAAGGGTCGGTTGAAAAAAACACTTTACAACAAAAGTGATGATTTCAGCTTCCCAATTGTGAACTTTCCATTTCTATGTAGCAACATTCCAGCACCTGCATATGGAGTATATATCTCACAGTTGATATGATATTCTAGTGTTTGCCTTCCTAACATGTTTTTCTTGATAGATAGTTGATACTCAAAAGGAATCTATTAAACTAATAGTTCCAAGTGGTGAAGTTGAAATCATCCCTTCAAATACGGACACTATCATGAGTTGGTTGACCTTTATGGAATATCTGTTTCACAGTGATAACCAACATGAGCAACATGACGGGTGTCACATGTTGAACAGGACCTGCTTACGCTTTCAGAGCACCTTAAATCAACCCTGGTTTTTGATGGGGTTCGTGTTGCTCAGTCTTTGCTTTGTCCTTTCAATTTTCTTCTCTCTTCTATCATAAACTGGTCATGGACACGAACCTTAGTATAAACATATTATATAGATATAAGAAGATGTGGTATGAGTGCCAATGAGACAACTATCCATCCAAGTCAAAATTTAAAAAAGTAAACCATTATAGGTCAAAGTACGGTCTTCAACACGGAGCCTTGGCTCACACCGAACAGTAAGCTATATTGAATGTTTTCCAAAAACCGTATCATTGAATAAAAAATATTTGCTTGACCTATAAGGATGCGATAATCTGATTAAAATACAGATCCTTTGTCCACGCTTCAATTCAAGGATAAAAAACACTCCGGTCTACTTTCTGTTCTTATAACTTTTAAACCACCAATAATATTATTGAAGGTGTGCGTCGATGCGGCAAAACTTGAGGACCCTGAACGGTCGTTAGAACAGAACATTTACAGTATCTTATTTTTTTTATATTGTAAATAATATAAATATTTTTTTTTCATTTATCCCTGCATATTGATATATGATATATTGATATGATGAACACGAATTCTTCCTGCCCCTTCCCCAAGTCCTCCTTGAATCTTTCAAATCCACGATAAGTGCAATAATGGGATTAAAATGATCCTAATATAGACTACATGTATATTTCTGTCAAACTGCTTGTTCATGTTTTCCAAAATTCTTATATAAATTTTTCACTATATGCATTGACTGGCAGAGTTTTCATGGAGAGTTACTGAATTTTGCACATTGAGTATTTATTCCCCATTCTAGTTCATGGATATGCTGTCTGTAGATAAGACGCATTAATGAATATACTCTTTTTTTTCAGGATGTCTAGAATTTTGCTTTCCGTTTCATGAAAACTATTTGGCATGGGATTTTCCAGGCGTTGGGAAGTATGTCTGTTTCATGATTATTCAAGGATGTTTATTTTTTCTCATATTATTTCTCGTTGAATCTGGTATTCTTCGAAGAAAATGTTCTTCTGCTATGAAGAAACAGAAAATTGCATCGTCTTATGCAGATTTGGGTGAATCTCGACCAGGAGTTGTTGACGAAGATAGCGACGTTCGAGCAGAACGAGACCGAATAAACACAACAGATGTTAATTCTATAAAAACATCAGATTCTATAGTTTTAAAGAATTTAAAAAAGTATTACGATAACTTTTTGGCTGTCGATGAAATCTGCGTGAGCGTTGCTCAACAAGAGTGTTTTGGGTTGCTTGGTCAAAATGGAGCAGGAAAGACAACAACGTTTAAGATGTTGACTGGAGATGTAATTCCGACCTCTGGAAATGCTTGGTTGGATTCGCACGACATCAAACATGAAATGAAAACGGTTTGTATTTCTGCTTTTTGTTCGATAGGTTAAAAAAGTGCCGAAGAGAGTTTTTGTCATAGTTTGATTTGATCTGGTTTAGTTTTGAAAATGTATTTTATGGAAAAAAATCAATTTTTATATCCTTCATACGATTCCCTCGGTTTTTTGTCTGTTACCTTGATTTGTCTTATTTATCGATTTACGATTTACGAGATTTGAGCATTGGTAAACTGCTGTCGCCTTTATATACCACTTCAACAGAAAATAGTTAACCGTTATACATAAACTTATATTTCTATGCATTTATACAACCCATTATAATCAAAATCTAGTTCAACTTCTTTTTATACCCCACGCAACGAGTTGCGGAGGGTATAATGTTTTTGACCCGTCCGTCCGTCCGTCCGTCTGTCCGTCCGTCAGTCCGTCAGTCCTGTTTCTTGTCATCGCAACTCCTCTGAAACCACACAACAGAATTTCACGAAACCTTTTTAGATAATAAGGACATACTATGTAGTTGTGCATATCGACAGAAAATTGCGATTCAATTTTTTTTCTAGGAGTTACGCCCCTTTGAACTTATTTCCTTTAATGTACTACTGCAACAGTTTGTCATCGCAACTCCTCTGATACCACACAACAGAATTTCATGAAACCTTTTTAGATAATAAGGACATACTATGTAGATGTGCATATCAACAGGAAATTACGGTTCAATTTTTTTTCTAGGAGTTACACGCCTTTGAACTTTTTTGCTTCAATGTACTATGCAACAGTTTGTCATCGCAACTCCTCTGATACCACACAACAGAATTTCATGAAACCTTTTTAGATAATAAGGACATACTATGTAGATGTGCATATCGACAGGAAATTACGGCTCAATTTTTTTTCTGGGAGTTACGCCCCTTTGAACTTATTTACTTTAATGTACTACTGCAACAGTTTGTCATCGCAACTCCTCTGATACCACACAACAGAATTTCATGAAACCTTTTTAGATAATAAGGACATACTATGTAGATGTGCATATCGACAGGAAATTACGGCTCAATTTTTTTTCTAGGAGTTACACCCCTTTGAATTTATTTGCTTCAATGTACTACTGCAACAGTTTGTCATCACAACTCCTCTGAAACCACACAACAGAATTTCATGAAACTTTGTAGATAATAAGGTCATACTATGTAGATGTGCATATCGACAGGAAATTATGATTCAATATTTTTTCTAGGAGTTACACCCCTTTGAACTTATTTGCTTCAATGTCTTCTGCAACAGTTTTTCATCGCAACTCCTCTGAAACCACACAACATAATTTCATGAAACTTTGTAGATAATAAGGACATACTATGTAGATGTGCATATTGACAGGAAATTATGATTCAATTTTTTTTTCTTACACATATTTTATTTCTCCAATGACAATGTGAGGACGTGGGGTATGTGAGCGCGCTCACTAAGGTTCTTTAATTTTTTAGTGACTTTTTTGTAACTGACTTGAAATATATTGTACCCCTAAAATTTATCAATGTTGGTCTATTTGTATAAGATAATTATTTCCAAAAGGAAAGCAAATCTCTTCGGAACAACTTATTTTTGTATTTTGTATTACATTTATACACTACAAAATGCATACATATCAAAAATAGGTAAAATAATATTACAGAGAAAAGCTACAGTTATTGTAGAATCAAAACTGCAAAAGTGCTGCATATGGTATCACAATATAAAATTTGGGAAATACTATGCTGAACTATTATATCCTATTCCTAGTTGTCACTGAGTGTGGATTCGCAAAGAGGGTGATGCAAACATAACAGGAGACGCTTTCCCTGTCGACACACCTAGTATCGCGTCATTTGGAGTTTATACAGTACCCTCAATTATTTACCTTGATTTCTACATCCTAAACGGATAATTCACGAAATTTGAACCTCGGTAAACTATTGATGACTCAAACTCATATGAAAGTGTTGATATATAAGTTTTCTTATGATCTTTGTAAAAACCAGACAAATGTTGGATATTCCTAAGTTTTGTATCCGATCTTAATTCTTATACTAATACATTAAATGTTACAAAGTTTGTTAAACAAAACAATTTTTAGAACAATGACAAAAAATAACATTTTAAATTAGATCTAAGCAAACAAAAAGTATTTAAAATATAGCCATCTGTGTTTTTTTTAATAAAAAGTATAGTAACATAAGCAGTCGCATCACCAAATATGATTATCGAGTTATGATACTTTTTACCACGCGTATTTTTACAGATGATTTAAAGCCATATGAAACTTCAAATTTAAAAAAAAAAGTTGATTATGTTTTATATACTTGAATGGCTGAGTTTTACTTTAAAAATAATACACGTGACCTTTCTTGTAAAGAAATCCTTTATTTTATCAAAATATTCATAAATGTACTGCTATTGAATTAATGTTTTCCCGTACACTAATTCGCTGATATTTCCCTTTAAGCAGTGACATTAAATAAAAGACCTCTCGTTAGAACTTCGACCACAGCATAGCGCAAATGCTAGTGAAAAACCGTAATGAAAGAATGTAAACAAAAGGGCATTGGAAGGCAAATAGTAATAACTGATTCTTAAAGAACAAATTTATTACAAAAAATCAATTAACAACTGTTATGTTCATTAACAAATGGGAACGCATGGAAAATATGAAAACAAATTATGGCTCTATCAATTCACATATTTGTCACGTGTGTTGATTGTTTATCAATTGCACGATCCTGTAAACTTCGGCAACAAACTCAAAAGTTAATTAGCTTGCGATCAATAATTACAGAATGAAATATCATTTGTCAATAATACGTTATAGATTTGTAATAAATATAAAAAAAACCTGCATACAGGACTTTGTTTAGTATAACTAACTGTATTTCTAAATAAAAAGCAATGTTAGAAATCATGACTTTAACTCAAGTGTATCTTATTAACATCGAAGACATCTCAAGCAAGCGGAAATTACGGATATTGTTATGTAAACAACATTCGTTACAAATATTTAGAATATACTCACCCCTTCTCGTCCAATGAAAAGTCAGTTTTTTCCCTTCTAATTTTCATAGTACATGGCTTTCCATGCACTATAAAATGCTATACATGAATGACTTTTCATTGTAAATTAATGATGAAAGTGACATTTTCCTTGGGAAAGTAGCCTACTGATGAAAGATGAAAGAGAAAAGAATTATAAAAAACATTTTGAACATTGCAAATCTTTATATTAATGGTATATATATATATAACAAACAAAAAAATAAAATAAAATGGGGGCAAAGATGTAGGTAAAATTATCTTTTATACAATTTTTATACCAGCCATTCTGGTCGATTATTTTTTTTCAAGAAAACAATGTCAGACTGCTGATATATAAAGCAAAGGATTTTTTTTAGAGAAAAAAAAACCACAATACATGTACATTTATCAATAAAAAGTAAGCATCTGCATGATGTTGAATGGTCGTAATTGAAATATTTATAGAGTAAGTTTTATATTTATCAAAAAATATTCAAATTTCAGAAAGCGGATCGATATAACATTGTGTGCTAATTAAAATCAAGAAATTTAAGGTATATAAGTATTAAATTTTTACCTGATGCAGAAAAAAACTGAAATGTTTGAAAAATTTGTCTTTTTTGTCCTTACAAACTATGTCAGTGCTATTTCATTCCATCCATTGAAATGGTCATTACCTATGTTATATACTCACTTCATTATAAAAGTGAATTCTTATTTAGTTTTGAATATTACAATGGGAAAGGATAATTTTGTAACTTCACTCGAAAGTGTGAATATGTTTTAAATTGGCCAGACAATACTTGGTCATGTTTTATGAAGATTTAAAGCCCTCGGCTACGCCTTGGGCTTTAAATCTTCATAAAACATGACCAAGTATTGTCTAACCTATAAGTGAATGACACCTGTCAATCAGTTTTAAAAGTATTACCTCGTTGAATCTGCTACACAGATTAATCAGATCAAAAGATCGATAAATTAGCATTAATCTCTAATCTCGACAACATTTTATTTTAATTCACTCTTAATTAAGTCTTCTTTTCTGTTATTGTGTATGTGATTTTACAAGCAAACATGACACAACTTTTAATCTCTTTTAACATTAATGAACCGAAAAACAAATGATTTCTGATTTGATTTTATCACTTGATTAACGATATGTATAAGGCTGTTCACTTTCTAAATCATTTATGAATATACTTATATAGGCCACAGGGAAATCGCGAATTCAAAACGGCGCGAATTTAGATTGTGTTCATTTCAATGAATACGACGTGAAAATTTCCAGGTTTACAGTTATAGGATAAATTACAGCAAATCTGTTGGATCGAAGAGCTCTATGTGAAAGGAAATGTTTGATGTTACTGTAATTGAAAACACTATTAATATTGACGTTAACGACGAAAGTGACATTCTTAAACGATATACAATAACATACGTAGACTGATTTGGATGAATATCTTACTTTCAGTTAAGAAGATATGGACATTATACAAATTCTTACCATCGTTTGTTTATGATTTCATGTTTTGACGAATTTCAGTTTCCCATTCGTTCATTTTCATTAAAATACTTACATTTTTACGTCATCGTTCAATGACGTCATTTCCTACATCTGACTAGAGGTAAACCATTCATAAAAAGCATACGACGTGGAAGTATGATTGGAACAGCCCATACAAAGCATGACGTTGCCTATCAGCTGACATACGAATATATTTGAATTTTACCACGGGTGTGTACTCAAAGCATCTTGGAATTCTTAAGATGTGGATTTACATTGTAATAAAGGATTTTCTTTTAAAAGAAAGTATGTAAAGGTGTTTAATAGTAAAACTTAGCCATTTAAAAATATAAAGCATGTTCAACTTTTTCCTTAAATTTGTAATAGCATATGACTTTAATATATAAAAAGATATTTACAAAAGATTGATGTATTAATAGGTACAGAGAAATTTGGGATATTGTCCGCAATTTGACGCCTTGATTGATCAGATGAGTGGAAGAGAAACACTAACTATGTTTGCACGATTACGTGGTGTCTCTGAGAGTCAGGTTAAAAATGTGGTCGTTGATTTATTGGATATCATGATGCTGAGACAGTATGCGGATAAAGAATGTGGAACATACAGGTAAAATCAAACCCAATTTTTTAACATGGTTAACATAGTATGCTGACATATTTCTGTCTTCTTCTCATTGGTCAATTTCTTTTTCTCTGATTTATTCAAAAATATCTTTCACTCCATTGTTGCCATGTCATTTTTTAGCTTTTCATTTATTCAAATATTTTGGATAGAACAGTGCTATGCATATTTTATGTTTCATTTCAATGTCAACTTTACACCCAGATCAAGCTTGATACTAAAATGCCAAATTCCATAAATCTAATGATTGGAAATACCTTTAAAATTCCTTGAAACCCTTTTTTTCAATTTGGAAGTTAGATGTTTTCCTTTCCTAAATATATATAGTTGTTGAGACTAACTTCCTATTATTAAGATAATTAAATTAAAGTCGTTTTGAAACGATTTTCTAAAGATTATAATGTTGAAATCTTTTTTAACCAATGCATGCGTTTATTCTTAAGTAATTCCTCTGTACACGTTTTACCATTTATTACGAATCCACAATGCATAATTGACAAAATATATTTCATTCGGTGAGTGTTCATAAAAACAATGGCTGCTAATTAACTTTCGGGTTTAAAGACAGAATTTTAACAATCGTGACCTTGATAAAAATAAATCAACGAAGAAAGGTTATCATGTGCATAATAAGTAAGATATTATTTGATGATAACCTAGGTTTTTTATCGTTTCCTATTTGTTGATTAAACTTTGTCATACCAGTTGTCAAATGATCTGGTGTATGATGAATTTTTCGTTTCAAATTGGTGTATACATGTATCTTTCTATATTTAAATGTCAATTGGCTTGATTGTATATGAAGATTATTTGTTCCAACTTTATTATCAAATCACCGATGATTTTTTTTAATTCGATAAATATACATCAAAACATGATGGTTTTCCTAATCACAAAATTTTCATAAAAATTAATTATATTCAAAGAATTGTTAAAGAAAATATTCCAAATGTTTTCTTTTCTTTAAATCTGCGTGATTTTATCTTTTGAAACAAAAAAAGTAAGGCATGTCTGTCCAAAGAATAAAATGTCGAAGAAACCAAAATTTTGAGTAAGTGATAAATTTTTGACCCAACATAGTACATTTTTTAATTGACTAGGTGAAACATATCTTGTTTGCAATTTTTTTGTCAAAAATTCCCCGATGAATTAAAACTGTATCGTATGCCCTCAAGGTCACTGCATACTGAAAAGCTGCCGGCGAATTATAGTAAGAAAAGACAATGCTTCAATAGAAGCTAGTTTCTTGTAGATTTGGATAATAGTACCATTGGGGATTTTCGTTTTGAAAAAGTATATGTTCATGTGTTTTATAATACATATCAGCCATTCAGTTATATAAAACATATTCATTTTTTGTCAAATTAGAAAGATCACATGAATTTTAATTTTACAGTGGTGGTAATAAAAGAAAGTTAAGCACAGCCATAGCTCTTATTGGTGATCCGCAGTTTATCTTTCTTGACGAACCAACAACAGGAATGGACCCTGGTGCCAGACGACAGCTATGGAATGTTTTGTCACAAGTCAGAGCTAGTGGAAGAACGTTAGTTCTCACATCACACAGGTGAATATTATTTTAGCAAGACCCTTATTATAGCATGCTTGCTAATATTAACTTTAAAATCACACAGATAAACGTCATAGTTTCAAGGCAAGTACATGTAGTTCATGATTGAAAAAAGAATTCTAGCAATCATAAGTTAATATCAATACATTATTATACAAATGTGTCGAGTTTTCAAATTGGATAACAACACGGAAATGTCAGTATATATTCTGGAAACTGCCGGTGTATATTCGACGTTTATTACCACAATTGGAACCTCAGTAACGTCATCATAACGACTTGAGGAATATTAACCTTAAGCTAGTGATGTCACATTGTATACCTTTTCTGAAATCTGAATATCATATAATCATTAATTTTACCTTGGAATAAAAATTACAAAAAAGGTATACAGACATAGTACAATCATGAAAATCAAAAAAACATAAGTCAAACAAAAACAAAAACAAAAAAACACACAATACGCAAGTTGATTAAACGAGTAATATCGAGGTAATAAATCGGTTTTACCACCGAATTACCTGAAACGTTTCTATATTCATCCCGAATGGTAAAGGCAGGTTTGTAAATTATGTTCGTGAATCTCCCATTTATGAATATATATAAATTTCTCAATGTTTAGAAGGTGTAACCAACAAACTCAATCCTAGCTAAATGGTCACCTAATTGATCTCCACTTCACCTCAAATTGTTTGAAATACAGATCCATTCTTGAGTAGTAAGAATAAATAAACACTCCATTCCAAGTTCCTTCAGATACTTATTGCATAAAACTTTTCTCGAATGTTTTTTTTGTGTATTATAATGACAAATCCAGAGGATCACTAAAATATCTTCACAGCTGAAAGTAAAACAGAGTCTTGTTAGGTCTTTGTTAACGAGGCATACAGACATGATTTGTGTTTCAATCGGACTTGATTCCCCTGTACTAATTTTTTATCAATTTTAATGGGTATGAGAACTTCGTAAGTATCTATCTTTCTACAGTTTTGCTGTTTGTTTTCATTTTATATATAAATAAAAACACAAAAACAACTTTGCAATAGAAAAATGAAAACAGTTAGCAATGAAAGATGACAAAACAACTCAACTACTGGTAAATGGAAAATCTACAACAAGAAAAACCCAAAAGATCAATTCATTAGTGATGCAAACTTTACAACCAAGAATAACACCAACTGGTTAATGGAAAATAAATCTTTAAAATGACAAATAAATTGTTGGACAAATTATGACAGTACTTGTTTATTTTTTTTGAACGCTTTATTCAGTTAATTGTTGATTGTTTCTGTCCCCTGTATGCTTCCATGCACACATGTAGCGATTTCGAAATTACATCTAGAATTCCACTCAAACTGGTGATAGGGACTGCAATCAGGTGCTGAAAGTCACACTTTTTCTTTGAGACAAAAAGTTGCAATCCAAGCATTATTGTTTGTTTGGGGTTTCATTAATCGTGTGTTGGAATTTTGTGTCATTATACCATTCCCCTCTAATTCCATTAAACATAAGAGCTAAACAGCTTGGTAGTAAAACATAAACAAACAAAACTATTTTAAATGAAAAAAAACAACAACTTGGCATTGATAAAATAAAGTTTTTCTCATTCAAACAGTTTTATTTGCTAATTATGTTGAAAACTGCTTTTTTTTACTTTAAAAGTATGGAGGAATGTGATGCACTCTGTACCAAGATAGTTATTATGGTAAATGGAAGATTCGTATGTTGTGGCAGCTCACAGCATTTAAAGAACAAGTTTGGACAAGGTTATACCCTCATTTGTAACATGAAAAATAGTATAGATGGGTCACACGTGTCCACAGAACCACTTAAACAGTTTCTTTGCACGGCATTTCCTAGTACAAAAATATTCGATGACCATCAAGGTTATTGCCATTTTCAAATAATGGACAAAAACGTTTCCCTTGGAAAGGTATTTGGTGCTATGGAAAGTACTAAACAGAAGTATAATGTTGAGGATTATGCCATTCATCAAGCAACACTTGAACAAGTGTTCTTGGCATTCACTCGAAACCAGGTGTCGCCAAAAGAAGAAGTACAGGACGGCATGTGTAAACAAATGTGTTGTTGTGTTCTATGTTGTTGTTCTTAAGCATAATACATTTGTAAATTGTCATGATTTAAGCGTTCTGTGTAATGTTGGATCTGATATGATAGTTATTGTAAAAGCCATTCAGCCTAAATTCTGAGGATGGTTCATTAACTTTACATGGGAGTGATGAAAATTGTATTCATAAATATAACCCACAAGTGTGTCCTATTAAGTGGTTTCATGTATCAACAAGATTTGATTTTACACATAAGTTCGTTGCGCACAATTATTTTGTCAAGCCTATCTCAATTTTTTATTTATCCCGACTTCTTTTTTCGATGCATAACAATTTTATATATTAACTACCATTTACTTTTCCAATATTATCTGTTTGAAATACAGATCCACTCTTTAGTAGCAAGAATAAATAAACACTCCATTCCAAGTTCCTTCAGATACTTATTGCGTAAACTTCTGTTCTCGAATGTTTTTTGAGTATTATAATGACAAATCCAGAGGTCATTTTGTAAAGTCCTTGAAAGTTTAGCTGGCCTTGTGCGTTCGTCTTTCTATATCTTTTGCTGTTCCATTTCAAACATCAAAAGTTGGAATGCTTTTAAATCGTATTCTGGCACACCAGTGCTGATTTTTTTATATGCAATAGCTTCATATTGTAAAAATAAACAATATAATAGTGTGTTTTTTTTTAATGATGACGGTTTCTTACTACAAACCGTATATTGTGGCTCTTATAGCCACTTTAGGAAAATATGATTGAGATATTGGTCGAATAGTTACAAGAAATATTTTTTAGTGTTTTTTTCTTCAAAATATTGATTAGACTTTCGGTTACCACTGGTATTCAAAATGGACCACCGACCATGTTTAAAATTTAATCTATGGTGAAAACACATTTCAAAATCATCTTTAATATTCATTATAAGCGATATTTCAAAACATTTGATTGACTTTTTAAAACCAAAAAGTAAATTGATACGTGACATTTTATTATTTAAGGGACAGAAATAATAAGTAGTTTAGGTCTATAAATCTTGTTAAAGAAAACCGGCCCTTTCCTTCCATTCATTTTACTCTAATAATGACATTCAAATATTTCAAATCATTTGGTTGTCCTGAAACAAAATTCATGTTTGACTAAATGCATATTGAATCTTCACCATTCAGTTTTATTGTGCATTTATATTTAATCTCACTCGAGCTAGTTCTATTTTATCCAAGTTCTTCGTTTTGACTTTGATTATTTAAGAAAAATTAAAAAAATATGCTAATGCCATTTCGAATTAGAAAAATCACAAACAAAACTATCAGTTACCATCCTTCATATAATCACAAGACAGATATCAATAATTATAGTGTGTTTAATTTTTTTTTTATCTCAAACTTAAAGCATTTGAGCAAAACTGCAAAAGATTTCGACATTTCTTATTGTTTATTTATTCTTATTCTTAAGAAAGATCTATTGCTTCAAGATTTCTTTTGTATGGAAAAAGATGAGGCTAGAATAATTGCATAAAGTTATTGCTCATATTCAGTCCTCAAAGGTAAAATTCTAGTACCCCAAACACTTCCTCTTTTTTTTAGCTCCATGTACAATAAAGCATTGTCAAAATGTATTATCAGTTTAGCTTTATTTCAAGTATAGTCACACTATGTATGTATTCCAAACCGTTCTGGTACCCCTGTATCAATTCAAACAACCATTCAAATACGAATAGAAAATTTACTTATTCAGAAGTAGATAAAACGAAATCTGTTTTCCTTTTGTTTGAGTTTAAACACAATGTTAGTCGGTCCATTGCAAAAGTCAAATGTTGTTTATAAAACAAACAAAAAAGAATGATGTCTTTCTTAAATCAGACTTTGTCTGAAATAAGTTCTTTTTACACAGTACAAAGTGTTTTGCATAGAAATTATGGGTCTTTTTTACACAACTCTGCGATGGTAATACTTTTGGTGGTTAATGTACATTTTGCACATAAAACAGGAAGCGATATGGTAAAACACCTCACATAAAACATTCTATTAATATCATTGTTATCAATAATAAAAAATGTGAATGTTTATACCGTTAAGAGTGAAACTATCCAGATTATAAAAAGGCAGAAGATATCAAAGGGCATCAACTACTTAGGGTAGAAGTTATATTAGAAAAAAAATACATTTTTTTGTGTGTGGGGTGCAAAATTTGGACGTTATTAATTCGGGTTTGCCTCAACTCTATTATTTTTATGGGTTTTATTTGTTTGGCCAGTTGAGGCAGAAATTAAATATTTGAAGTGTGCATCTGGAAATTTGATATGATTCGTTTTTCCTTGATCTTTATTTGGCATTACACTTTTACTATCTGTAAAATTTCAAAATTGTTTGGGTTTTTACCTTATTTCTGAAACTAAAGAAACCAACTTACTTACTACATCCTAGTAAAAAGGTAAGTTAATTGTGATACTAGTACAAACATGTATTAGTTCTTTCACATCCACTATTTAATCATATTTTTATTACTTGTATATATGGTTATTGTTATATAAAGAAAGCCTTAATATATGTTATATGTTATATTTATTGATTGTTTTCATGAACAAAAAAGTCCTACTTTGTTAAATCTGTTATATTCTTAATAAATGTATTTCTTTCTTAACATGGTTGATTGATATCTTAATCATTTTATTTGGTAAGGCTGCTTGGTAAATCTCTATTTGTCTTCTGTTTTATCAATGAAATATATGTTCTAAAACAGCATATCAAAACAAAACAATTCAGCAATGAAAATATAAAAAAACAGTCATTTTGCAATGAAAAATATAACAAAAACATTGTCATTTTGCAACGAAAAAAAAAAACAAAAAACGTTACAACCTGGCAATAAAAAATGGAACAAAAATCACTTGGTAAAGACTCAACGCTACCACACTTCAATGAATTCGAATAGTGCTATTCGATTACAACGGAAATTTTAAATACAGTGGATTTACGACAGTAACAAACTTAAATCTGTGAAAATTGCGTGGGAAAAGACATAAATATAGCGATTGCATCTATGTTAGGACAAATAAACATCATGGCAAAATCTATAGAATAGATGAGTAGTTAATTCAAAGGAAATTGACAAGACAATAATTCCTTATACTATTATGAATCATATAAACCAAAAATTAGCCTTAAATTTATCAAAACCCTTTTCTAGTATATGCAGTAAACACATAAATTTCAGAAATTAATCTTGATTCGTTATTTCCCCAGTCATAATTTGATTTTAAAAAGTGTAGGTACTTTGCCTCACGAATGATTTTGTCGGTTTAAATGGACTTCCCCCTTTTTAAATTTAACTTCGAGTTCGGTATTTTTTGTTATGTTTTTTTGCGTGTGCAAATAGACCTATCTAATCAATTAATCTTACAGGACTGATTCATTAATAGCAAATTATTGGTATTGGATGTATATTTGGTTTATAAGATGACACTGGGCAGTAAATAATAATTCAGTGCTATTGAATGGATAAGCTCCATTGATATTCAATGATAAGATAGATTGGAAGCAACAGTAGATTTTCAATGTTCAAATCTCATTAATTAATTAAAAAGATACAAATCAAAGTAAACAATCAAAAACAAACTGAGTGAATCGCATACATTCCAAAGGGAGCGAGACCGGGTGTGTTGACCTTGTAAGCGTTTCCTGCTTTACATTTCTCACATTCCATACAAATCCATTCTCCATCACAATGTCACAATGTCAATCGGTATATTTACAGATCAGACGAGTATTATTGTAACTTAAGATCTAGGACAGTAAAAACATGTCGCTAGTGACTTGAGACACTGCCATATCGTATCGGTTAGGCTTAGCCAATTCATCATGAGAAATGAGAGTTGACATATGGAAAGTTGAAATCATAACGTTTGTCATAGATTCTAGTTTGAAGTCGTCCATCTGTGTCAATATCGAGAAAAAGATTAAGATGCAAGATATCAAAACTCAGCATAAATACCAGTCCTATATTTTAGAACGCAAAACATGAGTTTCGTCCACAAGGGACTCACCAGTGACGCTCGAACCGTAAAATGATCAAAGCCAAATCAATTAAGAAGTTGAAGAGCACTGAAAACTAAAATTTAAAAAAATACAACCGTCATTGTATTAGATATAGTTTGAGAAAACGTGATAACTTTTACATCAGTTTATTATAACATACTTCTTTGTCGTGTATTTTAAAATTTGCATTATTCAAAGATCATAAATAAAAACGTCATGTTACAGCTTTTGGCTTTTTACTGTAGAATATTGAATATTTTTTTAATTTCTTACATCTGTTGATTCACTGTTTGATCTGAAATGAAACGATTTTCTTTTACTCGTTTCTGTTAAATATTTTGATGCGGATTTCAGTGTGGTACGTCTTTTGTTATGCCTCCTCCGTAGCCCGAGGAGGCATTAAGTTTTACCCTTGTCCGTCTGTACGTACATACGGACGTACGTCCCAAAGTTGGTTTCCGTTCTCTAACTTTAGTTTGCCTTAACCAAATGTTATGAAACTTATACACAATGCTTATTACCACAAAACACAGATCAAGTTGGAATGTTGGTGGCGTCACTTCAAACGTTCTAGAGTTATGCCCTTTACAAATGGAAAAATTGCTGAATTTTTCGTTTCCATTCTCTAGCTTTAGTTTGCCTCAACCAAATGTTATGAAACTTATACACAATGCTTAATACCACAAAATACAGATCAAATTTGATTTTTTGGTGGCGTCACTTTAACCGTTCTAGAGTTATGTCCCTTTACAAATGGAAAAATTGCTGAATATTTAGTTTCCGTTCTCTACCATAAGTTAGCATCAACCAAATGTTATGAAACTTATACACAATGCTTATTACCACAAAACACAGATCAAGTTGGAATTTTGGTGGCGTCACTTTAACTGTTCTAGAGTTATGCCCCTTTACAAATGGAAAAATTGCTGAAATTTTAGTTTCCGTTCTCTACCTTAAGTTAGCCTCGACCAAATGTTATGAAACTTATACACATTGCTTATTACCACAAAATACAGATCAAGTTTGATTTTTGGTGGTGTCACTTTTACTGTTTTAGAGTTATGCCCCTTTACAAATGGAAAATTGCTGAATTTTTCGTTTCCGTTCTCTAACTTAAGTTTGCCTCAACCTATACACAATACTTATTACCACAAAACTCAGATCAAGTACAAATTTGGGAAGCGTCACTTTTACCGTTCTTCAGTTATGTCCCTTTATAACTTTATATGATATGCAAGCGGGGGCATCATCTGTTTCCCATGGACACATTCCCCATTTATTATTACTGGCACCCTCAAAACACAAAATTACCGAAACAACACGTCAAAACAATCTCTGAGCACCAGTGATTTCGGAATTTTAGCCTTAGTGCTAATAAATTACAGAATTAAGAACGGAAAATACACATTACAACAGTATTCCGTAAAGGATACCAAACGAATGGTATCTTCGGGACTGACCCGATCGAAATTTTCGGAGAAATGCTGCCAAATTTCGTACACAGAATCATTACAAACGCCCCTTTAATAGCAGACTTGTTCTTGTACTGTTATGAATCACAGTTTATGACCAAACTCAGTAAAGACCCGTCTAAATTGCTAAATTTAACTACACTTACCGTTATCTTGTTGATATTTTTACGTTAAATAATCAAGAATTAACTAAATATACTGCCGAAAATTACCCAAAGGAACTTACTTCAAATAAATCAAATGTAAACGGTAATAACTGTCCTTTCCTAGATTTAGATATTTCAGTTTTACCCGGGAAACTCCACACTAAAATTTACGACAAAAGGGACAATTTTTCGTTCCCTAATGTTAATCTTCCTTTTTTGGATGGTGATGTTCCTTTGGCACCAACTAACGGTGTTTATATATCACAACTCGTTCGCTATGCCCGTGTCTGTTGTGGTGTTTGGATTTAAATGAACGTAATCTATGTATTTCAGGTAAATTATTAAGTCAGGGATTTCGTTACCACAAATTACTTAAAACCTTTACTAAATTCTTCCATAGATATAAAGATTTGGTTTTGAAGTTTGATTAGAAACGATCCTGGTAAACTTATCGATCCTTTAAATAAACTTATTCTAAAAGGTTACCAATTCAACACTGTAAGTAGATCTTTGAATATTAATTTAATTGGTATTAATATTGATTTTGTTATCAGTAAATTAAAAGCAAACTAAATATTATTGCTATATACATATGCACATTCATTGCTCTACAATCTGTCGATACCTGTATCTTGGCATTGCACAAGGTCATGTTTTTCTCTGACTGTTTATGAAGTCTTTACACTAAACCATTGGATGTTGGATGTGTACAGTACTGATTGATAATTTAGTCTCAGATGCATGATTTATTTGTATTATTAGTTGTTATTGGCTTTGAACTAGTTAAGGCGAGTGACATTTTTCAAAAAGACGCCTAGTGAACGACTTTAATGCACCCACCTAACATACGGCTATGTTATATATCATTCGAAAGCTTATTACCTGTACTTTCTGTTTTGTCCGGTCGTCAATAATTCGTACGGTGCAATTTTCGTTAAATCAAGGTCAAAGGTTAAAATTGAACATTCCTAAATTTTGCCAGAATTAAACAAAATGCCATTTTCTGGTACTTGTATGGAATTTGTTTTCTAAAAAATATCTAAACCTTATAAAACAAATTACCATAATTCCAAAACAAATGCAAACTTAAATGTTGATTGCGCTTTATTTACAGAAAATTGCATTTCTTAAAAAAAACTTCCAAAAATGATAAAATTGCAACAAAATCTAAATGTTTTCTGAAGTTTGAATATTTGTTTTCAAAAATAGAATAGATTTATCGTTTATAGGCCGAGGGGATAAAAAACGGAAAGTCTCTTATCAAATGACAAAACCAAAAGCTGATACACACCAAACGATTGGAAAATAGTTGTCATAAACCTCGTTGTTCTCTCTCCCTCTCTTTCTCTATCGTTAAATCATATAGCGGAAATATAGGAATCATCTTGTCTCTACGCCTTTTTTCCTTTTGTTCTTTTCATTCACATATACATCTGTTAGTCTTAAAAAAATTGTAATGAGCAATATTCCTCCGACATTGTATGGTAGAATTAAGGAAGTTCAAAGTGCACATATAGAGGTTATACGTAAAGGGATTTGTTTCATAATAGATATATTCAAATAGAGTTAAAAATAGTTATCTCTTAAAATTTACCAGAACATACCTGCTTTCAAGCTATCTCATAAAGTTAACCCCAATCTTATTAAAATGTAGATCTTTGATTTCGTTATTCTCATACGATAAATGAGCAGGCGAGTCGTGATAGATCCGAATTTTAGTTAGATTGTTTTAATCCATGTTTTTAACACTTATACATAACATTTTGTACGGGTTTTTTTCATGAACTAATATATCACTTGTTGTGAGATCTTCGCACCATTAAAAACCCGAACGGAAAAATATGAAAATAAAGTGAGAAAATCACCAAAAGTCGCTGTCAGATCAACGACAGAGTGCTCAGTGCACAATAAATTTCCACAAACATAATTTAAGATTAGATGACATAAAATCAATTAAAAAACTGGACAAATAAAGGCAACAGTAGTAT